ATTCACTACCAAGGTCATATTGGTTTCTTTGGGTTTCTGTCTCTTATTGATCTGGGTGGTTGCTTCTTTAGTAGTTTATAAAGCACTTGGTGGTAGCTTTGAAAATATATGTGATAGTACCTGGGCATGGTGGTCCATGTCTGTAATTCCAGCAGCTCAGGAGGCTCAGGCAGGAGAATCCCAAGTTCTAGGCCAGCCTCAGCAATTTAGGGAGACCCTAAGCAACTTAGACCCCATCTCAATATATAAAAATAAAAGGGCTAGGGATGTAGCCCAGTGGTAAAGTACCCCTGGATTCATTCCCCAGTACCAAAAAAGAAAAAGAAAAAGAAACCACGTGTGATCTTAAATGCTAGGGCTCTATAGCCCTCTACTGCTGGCTTATCTATTCTTACAACTTCTCAGTGGTATTTTATAGCCGAGGCTTCAAAACTCTTCCCTCCTACATAGTATAGTGCAGTCCTCAGTTGCAGTCTTGTTTGTGTCATCTGCCAACCTTGGCATATTTGTAGTTTTACAGAAAATTTTGTCTAAGCAAAAATATTAATGAGCAATATAAACTTTATAGGCAAGTAGAGTGTATTTGTCCCTTGTGTTGTGGTGTTTAGAAGAATCTTAAAGGAGAGTTGCTTTTGCCCCAATTTAAGAATCTGGGATAACATAGAACCTAAAGAAATTCAAGTCTTCCAAGAAAAAAGTTCAGAAAACATTTAGGTTGTTTATTTTTAAGTGCAAATTCGAAATGATTGAGGATCTTTGCTCTATTGCCATTCTTAGAAATATATGGACTGGGGCTGGGAATGTGGCTCAAGCGGTAGTGTGCTCACCTGGCATGCGCGGGGCGCTGGGTTCGATCCTCACACCACATAAAAATAAAATAAAGATGTTGTGTCCACCGAAAACTGAAAAAATAAATATTAAAAAATTCTCTCTCTGTCTCTCTCTCTCTATCTATCTATCTATCTTTAAAAAAAAGAAATGTATGGACTGTTTTAATGGTATAATAAGTCTGTAAATCTGTATTGTCAGGCTGGTTCTAGCCACACGTGGTTTAGAGCACTTAAAATGTGACGAATGTAAACTGAGAAATGTTGTAAATTGAAAGTAGACATTGGATTTTGAAGAGGTAGTACCCCCATTTCTTAAAAAGAAACTCATTGAAAATTGTTCACTTTTGTTTTTGAGTTGGCGGTCTCATTTTGTTGCTTAGGCTAGCCTTGAATCCCTGGACTTAAATGATTCTTTTTCTGCCTCTCAAGTAGTTAGGATTTACATGCATGCTCCACTGTACCCAGCTAGGTAGTTCATTGTTAAATGTTGATTAGAAATGATAATATTTTGAATCTCTTGGGTTAAGTATAATATTAAATTAATTTCACCAGTTTCTCATTTATTTTTTGTTGTTACTGGGAATTGAACCTAGGGACACTTAATTTTGAGCCACATCCCCCTCCCTTTTTGTTTTATTTTATTATTATTATTATTTTGAGACAGGGTCTCACTAAGTTGCTTAGGGCCTCGTTAAGTTGCTGAGACTGGTTTTGAATTTAGAATCTTCCTGCCTCAGCCTCCTGTGTCACTGTGATTATGTAAGCTACCACATGTGGCTTTCTTTTACTTTTTGATGTGGCTACTGTTGGCTCATTTTGTATTTCTGTTGAACAATTCTGCTCTATGAAGAAGGAGAGCATTGTCATTGGTAAAGATTGTGTTCTGACTTCTATCATCACTATTAGACCAGGGGCTGTTAAATTTTAACAAATGGGTAACTCTTAATGATATAGAGGAATTAGTTTAAAAACCTCATAACAATGAGAGAACATTTATAAATCTGACTATATCTAGTAAATAACAGGAGCTTTGAAAAACAGGCTGCTTATTAAAAACCTTTGGAGCTCACAGCTTACTTAGCTGGGGCAGTATGCTTCAGCTGTCTCAAGAGTTTTTTACTACCAATCTTCAAACACAAAATTTGCTGCTAAACTTAGACAAGTAAAAGTGGGAAGCTATATTGTGCTCAGGAGATTTTTTTTTCCCCTTCTGAAGTATATCTGCCTCTTTTATGTTCCAAAATTTCACTTTTTGCATGTGTGTATATGTAAAATTTCCTTCAGTTTTTATTGAATTCACACATCATGATGATTTTGAAATTTTGTTTTTGGATTGAATTCATTGGACCTGGCTGCTTGTTTTCATAGTATATGATATCTTCCAGAAGATCTCTGTCCCTTGTTCTGGTCCAGCTTTATTGTCTTTACCTTGGTTGATGTCTGCTAGGTATGCCTAGCAGTGGACCATTTAAGCTCAAGTTGTGATTTTGTAATATGAATTTTCCAGCAGTTTTCTGTGTCATTGAAAACTTAGCAAGCCAGATGTTTAAAGAATATATAATTTTATGGTATGAGTATACCATAAAATAGGATAATTGATTGGATTCAGAGGTAGAGTTCTAATGCAGCAGTTAAGAGCATGGGCGTGGGAGTGGGACTGAGCCTAATATTTTATCTAATCAGCAGTATTTTGGGCAACTAGTCTAATCTCTGTTTTCTCATCTATACAGTATGAATGTAGCCCTGGCTATGTTAGTCAGCTTTCTATTACTATAACAAATACTTTAAATAACTTATCAAGAAAAAAGGTTTATTTTGGCTCACAGTTTTAGAGGTTTCAGTCCATGACTGGTCGGACCCTTTGCTTTTGGTCCTGTGGTGAGGTAGCAGTATATCATGGCAGAAAGTAAAACTGCTTACCTCATAGCTAAGAAGCAGAAGTCAGAGAGGAATAGACTGAGGTTCTATTGTCCCCACTGAGGGCATGTCCTCTTTGACTTAAAGACATCCTACTAGGCTGTACCTCTTAAAGGTTCTACCACCTCCTGATAATGTTGTTCTGGGGAACAAGCCTTTTACACATGGGTCTTTTGGGAAAAGTTAATATCCAAACTATGGCCCTTGCCATTGTGAGGAATAGAAGGGGAGGCAGATACATTCACCAAAAAGAACCCAATTGTGTTAGCTTTGGGTCATTGTGACCAAAATACCTGACAATAACAACTTATTTTGGGTTCACAGTTTCAGAGGTTCAGTCCAAGGTTGGCCAAGTCCATGGCTCTGAACCTAAGGTGAGGTAGAACATCATGGTAGAAGGGCATTGTGGAGGACAGTAGCTCAGCTCATGCAGCCAGGAAGTAGAGAACACAATTGGAACCAGGACAAGACATGAACTCCCCAAGGACATACCCCCAGTGGCCTACTTCCTTCAGCCATGTTCCATTTGCCATCAGTTAACCATCTAGTATAGTAGCCCTTTCATATTATTAATCCACCAAATGGATTAATGCACTGATTAGATTACAGCTCTTATAATCTAATCATTTCACCTCTGAATATTCCTACATTCTCTAAGATGAACCTTTGGGGGCAGGGTACAGCTCACATCCAAGCGCTAACACCAATCATTTCAATTGAAACTTACTATAAAAAAGTATGAAGATTGTGCAGAACAGTTATTATTGTTTCATTATGTTGCTTCTAAGTACATATAGATCCTATCTTGCATGAGTACTTGGAAAACTTCTCCTTTAAATATTCTTACCTTTTCAATATCGGTATCACCACTAAGACCCCTTTAACTGTGTCGACTCTTCTCCAAAGTCCTGGCTCCACTCTGCTATTCTTTTGTTGTCTTTGGATTTGACTCTTGGTGCATTAGTTCTGGGAAAATCACTGACAGGGATAAACAACTAACTCTTGGTGTGTCATTGGTCTTTTTCATAACACAACTTCACTGTGTTACTATCTTAAAATATCATAAGAAGGAGGATGGGAAGGTATAGTGTAGGTAAATGAATATAACAGAGAACCCTTAGGCTGAGCACAGGGATGATAATATCTCCTTATTTTTAGGGATTGTTTGACACTTAAATTAGACCTGTTGTAATCTAATTTTTCACTAATACGCTGTATGAACATTTATAAAACATTTCTTTTAGATTATTCCTGGGCTCTTTATATATATATATATATAACCTTTGATTGACATAATATTTTGAGGAGAATCTTTGTCCCACAAATTTTATGAGTTTTATTAAACAAACTTGTAGGTACTTTCAGAAATAAGTCTTTTGTTTTGGGAAAAATTCTACAGGAAAAGTACATATGATATTTACTGAGACTACAAGTACCTTGTTGGGTTTTTGCTGTTATTAAGCATCTGGGCTTGTGCTGGCACTGGTCCTGTGTGGCTATGTAAACTGAAATTAATTAAAGTTAAAAAATAAATTTAGTTCCTCAGTTGTGCTAGACACAGTTCACGACCTTGTTAGCTGTATGTGGCTGGGGACTACCACATGAGTACAAATATAGAACATTTCTGTCATAGCAGAAAATTTTACTTTATAGCACTGAACTTGAGTTTAAGGAAGTTAAATAATAACCCTGTGTTTTAAGTAGGAAGTATTATCAAAGTCTTGGGTATTTACTACTAAAATTTTTTATTTTATGTGATTCTATAGCATCTATAAATGTTACTATGAATATTATTCTAGATGCAAATTTACTACCTAGATTAATATTTCTAAAATGTTTTTTAATTTTTATAAGTAGATACAACTTTTAAAAATTTCAGTGTTTCCTTGCTTTTATTGTTCATTTCCTGATGCTATATTAGAAATTCTATTTGTTTTTATAGCATTTAAGGATTTAACTCTATTCCATTGCCATGGCCTTATAACATCAAATAATAATATTGATAGGAATAATACTGATCATTTTCAGTCTGAAGGGTGATTAAGGTATATACTTAGAGAGTTAAAAATAGTACAGATATATGTCATTTTTTGAATTAATAGGCCTTAGGAAAATGTGAATAATAAGAAGAAACTTGCTTCTATTTATTATGTAATATGCTGTTACATAAAGTTTGTTTAGAAAATGGTTAGAAGATTTGTAGTTCTTTTTCATTGAAAGGAAATATTTAAATTGTTTTTTAATCCTAGGAAGCTCTACAAAGGATCATTTCAACTCTGGCAAATAAAAATGATGAAATTCAGAACTTTATTGATACACTAAATCAAACATTAAGAGGAGTTCAGGTATGAGTCTTAATTAAATTTATGTAAATATCACAATGAATGAGTATTGAGTCAAATTATAAGTATAAATATACTTTACATTTATAAATACAAATACACTTCTGCTAATGGAGCTGTGAGCAGGGTGTTTTAAATGGGAAATACAGTAAAAAATGCTTTCCTTGCCATTCCTGTGTTATTTGTGGAAAAATCAAATAGTAAAGGAGAAGGAAAACTCTGGAGTACTTGCTAGGGAATATTACAGTGCTCACTTTCGTATTTTTCTATTTGATATTTTTCTTTTCTAATTCCAACTAGGAGCAAATTGTATCCTTACAACGTACCTGCAAGTAATTTTTTTTTACAGTAAATAGCAGAAAGAAAATGTAGATGATAAGAGGTCTACATGAAATAGACAAAAATAAAACATAAAAGTTAAAGTGCCCAATTAGGAGGAAGAGGAATATTTAAGGAAGTGGTCCCAGGTTTGAGTAGACAATCCATGTGTTTTTCATCAGATGTTGATTGTAGAAGGAAACTTAAGATAAACTGATTCTTAGGCTGCATCAGGAAGAAATAGGAAATCTGAACAGACCAATAAGTAAGGAAATTGAATTCAATCAATAATAATTTAAAAAAATCTCAGATCTTGATGACTTTATAATTGAATTCTATCAGATATTTAAAGAAAAATTAATACTAGTTCTCAAACTTCAAGAAAATTGAAGAGGAGGGAATTACTTCTAAGCTTATTTTATAAAACCAGCATCACCCTGGTGTCAAAGCCAGACAAGGATACAACAAGAGGAAAAAGACTATAGACCAACATCCTTGATGAATATAGATGCAAAAATCCTCAAAAAAATATTAGCAAACTGATTTCAACAGTACATTGAAAAGATTATTCACTCTGGCTAAGTGTAGTTCGTCCTTATATATGGATGGTTCCTTATATGTGTGTAAATCAACAAATATGATACATCATATTAATAAAAACGAAGGACAGAAACCACATGATCAACTCAATAGATGCAGAAAAATAATTTGACAAAATTCAGGATATTTTCATAGTTCAAAATTCTCCCACAAATTCAGTGTAGAAAGAATGTACTTCAACACAATAAAGGTCATATATGACAAGTGCACAGCTAATCTCATACTCTGTGATGAAAAATTGAAAGTTTTTCTTCTACCATCAGGAATAAAACAAGGATGCTTGCTGTTACCACTTATATTCAAAATAGTATTGGAAGTCCTATTCAGAGCAGTTAGATAAGAAAAAGAAATAAAAGACATCCAAATAGGGAAGGAAGAAGTGGAATTGATAATATAAACTTATGTGTAGCAAACTCTAAAAACTGTAATGAAAATCTGTTAAACCTATAAATTGGGTAAAATTGTAGGATACAAAATCAACACAAAATTTGGTAGTGTTTGTATACTAACAACAGACAATCTGAAAAAGAAAATAAGGGGAAAAAAATCTCACTATAGGAATTTAAGTGGCTTTTACAAGGTTGCACTGTTACTAGTGGTTAATGAGGGATGTAAATCTTCTGCCTTCCGGACTCTGCATTCCTTCTCCAAAGCTTGTTTTTGCTTTTATAAATGAACTAATAAAAATGGTGAACACTACTTTTTGTGAGACTATATTGAGATGGTGTCTGGATTTTATAAACATTATAATCAAAAGTTTGGATATATTACAAGACATCTTAACCAATGCCAGTTTGCTTCTCTTAATAGAATGATTTATCAAAGCTGAAAAATGCCTTAAGGGAATTTCTTCTTTCATAATTGTTGCAAAGGTGGATTTGCTATCTAGGGATTTCACAAATATTTTAAGGTATTTCTTGTTAAAATAGTGGCATCCTGCTTAATGAAGCAATAAGAACTTTGGAAAGTCGAGATTTGGAATGCTTTATTGATGATGCAGCTACAACTAGTTGTGTAGCTTTGGAAAAGTCACTTATCTATATTTTAGTTTGTAAAGTGCAGGAGGAGTTCAATTACAAATTCTAATTATGAGATCATTTCTGATATTCCTTCTGGCACAAAATTCAATGTTTGATAAATCTCATAGGATCTAGTAGTGAATTGCTCATAGTCTTTTAAGTTCTATATATTTTATGTAAATGCAATGTTTTAGATAACCTAAAGAATTTTAAAATTTACACAAATCAGCCCTATTCCTATATACCCAAACTGTTTTTCAGAGTTGCTGAATTAAACTCTTTGCAATATTTTATTAAAATTCTTTACTGGCAAGGACTTAAAAACAGCATACTATAAGGACACAGCCACATCAATGTTTATAAAAGCACAATTCACAATAGCTAAACCGTGGAACCAACCTAGATGCCCTTCAATAGATAAATGGATTACAAAAAAGTGATATATACACACAATGGAATATTACTCAGCAGTAAAAGAGAATAAAATCATGGCATTTGCAGATCAGTGGATGGAGTTAGAGAAGATAATGCTAATGAAGTTAGCCAATCCCAAAAAAACAAATGCCGAATGTTTTCTCTGATATAAATAGACTGATTCATAGTGGGTTAGGGAGGGGGAGCATAGGAGGAATAGACGAACTCTAGATAGGGCAGAGGGGGTGGGAGGAGAAGGGAAGGGGGCGGGTATGGGTTTAGAAATGATGGTGGAATGTGATGGACATTATTATCCAAAGTACATGTATAAGGACACAAATTGGTGTGGATATACTTTGTATACAGCCAGAGATATGAAAAATTGTGCTCTATATGAGTAATAAGAATTGTAATGCATTCTGCTGTCATATATAAATAAAAAAATGATAAAACATTCTTTGCTGGTCATTCTGCTAATACTTCAAAAGTTAAGAACCACTGGCTTAGGAACTGCCTTAGAGCCTGAAGGTCTAGATAAAGTTGGGAACTTTAAAACAACCTATTTCTTGTCCTGTAGAAGCAGTTTTATAAAAGTAAAGAGTGTTTGGGTTAGTACATAAAAGGCAGTTTAACTCCAGCATAGCTAAAATACCACCCTCCTCATTAGCAGCCAGCTTTTTGTATTCATCTCTTTTTAAAGCCTTAAATGAAATTTAGAAGTTTTTACTTTTACATTGGGCTTTGGCAGTTTGTAATAGAAACCTGTCCTCCCCTTTGTGTATACCTTTCAGTTCTTAAATGTTTGAAGGCTTTTCAGTAATAGCATTCTGTTTTGTTTTTTAAAACAGGAAAATTCTTCTAACATACTTTCAGAGTTAGATGAAGAATTTGATAGTTTGTACTCTATATTGGATGATGTAAAAGAAAGTATGATTAATAGTATCAAGCAAGAACAAGCTCGTAAATCACACGAGTTACAGGTGAGACCCTGCAGCTATTTAAGTCTGAATATTCTATTTAATGCTTGATGTGTTGAAAGCAAAAATTAGTGAATTTGTGAGTATAACTAAACTTTTATTCAAGAATGGTTTTTAACTTTGCTCAAACTTTCTTTTTTAAATTATGGTTAAGAAATAACAAAATTTACTTTCAGATGTTTTTTAAATGTTGTAATTATGTTATCATGTAACAGAGCTTAAGAACTTTTAAATTTTATTACAAAGCTGAAACTATGTGCCCCTTAAACAAAAACTCCTTATTTTCCCCTCCTGCCAGCTCCTGGCAATCATACTGTTTCCTCTTCCATTGTTTTGATTACTCTTGATATCTCACATGAGTAGAATTGTAAAGTGTTTGTCCTTTTGTGATACTGTTATTTCACTCAGTATAATGTCCCTAGGGTTCATCTGTGTTGTAGCATGTATCAAGATTTCCTGTATTTCTGGTTGGATAATATTTCATGTGTGTATATATTTTCTTTTATCCATTTATCTGTCTGTCAACGTTTGTGATATTTCTACCTCTTGATTAATGTGAATAATGCTTTGGTGAATTTTGTTGTGCAAGTATAAACCTAAGATGCTCCTGTAATTCTTTTGTTGTATACCCAGAAGTCAGATTGCTAATCATGTGGTAGTTCTCTTTTTAGTTTTTTGAGAAACTTTCATATTGTTTTCCATAGTGGCTATACCATTTTACCTTCTTACCAACAGTACATAAGAGTTCTGTTTTTTTCTACATCCTCACCAACTTATTTTCTGGGTTTTTTTTTTTGTTGTTGTTGTTTGTTTTGTTTTGTTTGATAGTAGTTGTTTTTTTACAGTTTAGATTTCCATTTTTCTAATGATTAGAGATGCTGAGCATCTTTTTGAATTGTTGATCATCTCTGTTGTTTTCTTTGGAGAAATGCCTATTCAGGTTTTTCCCCACCCCCATATTTTACTTTGCATTTCGAGACAGAGTGTTGCTGAGTTGCTGAGGCTGATCTCAGCAACTTTCGATCCTCCTACCTCAACTTCCCGAGTCTCTGGGTTTACAAGTGTGTGCCACCATGTCTGGCTAAGTTGTAGGAATTTTTTATACATCCTGGGTAAATATTTTTTTTAAATATATTTTTAGTTGTCAATGGACCATTATTTTACTTATTTATATGTTGGTGCTGAGCATAGTGCCTCACACATGCTAGGCAAGCACTCTCCCACTTAGCTACAAACCCCAGCCCATTCTGGGTATATTTTAATTTAACTATTTATCTAGAGAACTTCACTCATGCTAGGCAAGGGCTGTAGTACTGAGCTATATCCCATAACCTTACATTCAGGATATTAACCCCTTATCAGAATTTATTCCAAGTCCCATTTATCTGTTTTTGCTTTTGTTACAAATGCAGTATTGCAATATGTGGTGTAATGAAGATTTCCCCCTGTGTTTGAGCTTTAAGGGTTTTGTTGAGAAAGTTGGTGCCTACATCTATATGATGGAGTGTTGACCCCATGTTTTCGTCTAATGGTTGTAAACTTTCTGGTCTAATTCCTATGTCTTTGGACTATTTCAGTTTGACTTTTGTGCAGGGTAAGAGATAGGGATATGGTTTCATTTTGCTACACATAGCTGTCCAGTTTTCCCAGCACCATTTGTTAAAAGTCTGTCTTTTCTCCAAAATATATTTTTTGCACCTTTGTCAAGTATCAGACGGCTATAAGTATGTGGGTTTATCTCTGTCTTCTACTCTGTTCCATTGGTCTTCATATTTATTTTAATGCCAATGCCATGCTGATTTTGTTACTATAACTTTGTAGTATAATTTCAGATCAGGTGTTGTGATACCTCCTGCATCACTTTTCCTGTTGATTATTGCTTTGGCTATTCAGGGTCTCCTTTTCTTTCAAATGAATTTAACACATTTTTTTTTCTAATTCTGTGAAGAAAGTCATTGGTATTTTGATGGGGATTGCTTTGAATCTGGATATTGCTTTTTGGTAGTATGGCTTTTAATGCAATCTAAAAGGGAAAATAAGTAGGCTTGAATATGGAATAGAGACTAGTTAAATATTTTGAAGAAGAATCTTATATACATTTAAAAGCCTAGTAGTTGGTTTGTTTCTCTGTTTGTGGAATCACTACCAATCTTTTCACATGACCTACAATTGAGAAGGGAAGAAGAGAAAGTGAAAGAGAAAACTAAATAAGATTGTATTAGGTGGAATTAATATGTAAGCATGAAGACTGAGCATATCACTATAACAGTTCCCCTCTTTTGTTTCTCTTCATTCCTATTTAATTCTAGGTACTTGAATTGTAGTTCTTGTGCTATCCAGTCTTGGAAATTTTAATTAATATTTTAGTAGTATGCATTTCTTGAATAGTGTGATAAGTGATGCTCAACTTGAATGTACCTGTACCTCATTTCACAAACTTTAGCTTAAATAGTTATCGTTAAGAAATTTAGTCTTCATTACAGAGGATGTTGTCTTAAGGTAGATTGTTATTTTAATTTAAATTGTAGATAGTTTTCTGACTACTTTTATTAGTAGAGAAGAATCTTCAAATAAATTTGGCCCCAGTAGTTTATAATTCTTTTCTTTTTTGTTTTAAATTCTATCTTTATACATACAAAGCTAAGCTTTTTACATAAATTATGGAAAGAAATACAAAGTATTAAAATAATATAAGCTTATTGAATATATGACTGGTCATGATTATCTTGCTTCAGCAGCTCTCTGAATTTTTTTTCATTACTGCTATTAAAATCATTTATAAATTTATTATAACAATGTATATTTTAAATTTCTGGTGGCAATAAGAAACTTCATATTAATGATTTAGGTTTTTTTTCCCCCCTTAGAATCAGCTTAGTCAATGTAATAATGCCCTGGAGAATTCTGAAGAATTGCTAGAATTTGCGACAAGGTCCTTAGATATAAAGGAGCCTGAAGATTTTTCAAAGGTACAAAAAAAAACACTTATGAAAAAAATTTAATGCACTTTATAAAGGAGTTAACTCCTTTAGTTTTGGATTTGTTTATTCATTTCTTTTTAATTTATTTTATTTTTTCCCTTTTTTTTTCATTTTGTTGTTCAGTCATTTCTAATGTTGAAGAAGCTTGGGATTTCTGGATAATTAAAATGCAAACTTCTCAAGCTGCTTTGTTTTAAAGGAGACACTTATTAGTATGTATCTTTGGGATCATGAAAACGTTAACTATTTTAGTTTAATTTTTCTTTACTATTCAATTCAGATGAATCAAGTTACTTTCCTTTTAGTTATATCTCTATTGGTAATTATTTAAAGGTACTTATGTACTTGAATGGAGTCATAACTTTCTTTTAGACTTTTCATGACCGAGGAAAGAAGATTGGTATTACCATTGATGTGGTTCAAAACTAGTTTTCTAAGAGTTGATTGGGAAAACATTATCAATTGATACATATAAGCATTGTAACCCTGTGAAACTTCTTATTGGAGACAAATGTCCTGTTATTTAGCCTAATTAATTGAATGTTTTATTAAAACATGAAAAAATAGGTCCTTGTTAAAGAGTATGTTTGGATAGAAATAAAAGGAGTAAAAGCAGGTAGCTTAGCTTGCTTCTGTTTTAACTTAGAGTCTCTCATTTAAAGGATTCTGAATTATATACTTATTTTATTATTTTTTTAATATTTTTTTTTTTTTTTTAGTTTTTGGCGGACACAACATCTTTGTTTGTATGTGGTGCTGAGGATTGAACCCGGGCCACATGCATGCCAGCTGAGCGTGCTACTGCTTGAGCCACATCCCCAGCCCCTATACTTATTTTAAATAGGGTGATTTTAAAATGATTTTCAGTTTATCAATTTAAAACTCAAGGATGTAGAATTAGCAAAGACAAGGTATGAACTAGGGGAAATTAAACTATATAATTAACAAAATGTTACTGTATAGTTTATCAGGATTAGATTTAAGTTTGATGTTCCTAATTGTGGACTAGGCAGTGAATTTTATTAATGTTAGAAAGGTACTTTTTATAGTCCATTTGTATCTAGTCAATGTTTTCATTCTATGACTTTCCTGTGAACTTGAGGTAGAAAAAAACTCCTTGATAACATTTTTACCCTAAATCTTTGCATTTTTAAAGATGAACTTTAAAAATTAATTTATTCTTTTAACAACATAAATCAAAGTAGACTACTACACTAATTAATTCTTAGATTTGTAGGTGAGTTGTAAAAAGTTTACTGTTGCATTTGGTAGGACTTGCTGTGAAAAGGAATTATGAGGAAACTTTTTCTTCAAAATACTTTAGTATGAGATGTCCCCTATATACAGGGCATTCACGTGATAAACTTAAATATCTGGAACATAGCCAAGAAACATGCAGAAAGTAAAAAAAAAATAATAATATTTTGAGTCATCAAAATCATTGTTATATGGAGTTCATGAACAGGAATTTATATTCCCTGCTCACAATGATGACTCAGAGTCTGTTGACTATTAATTTGAACACGGTTCTTCTAATTTTTAGGGTTTTTTTTTTTTTTTTTTAATAATTCCTACTTGTCAACAGATTCCCCTTCTGGTGGAGTAGGGTAACTGTTTCTGGCCAGTTTAATCCTAACAGCAGGAGTTAGTCCTAGAGTGAAGAAGACAGGAAAACTAAAAAATGTGAACACAAGAACTCAGTTGTGTTTAAATAGGACTATTACTTGGAAAAACTGTGATAAATGTTTATTTATTTCAAGTTTCTCTTTTTGTTGACATTTTCAGTATAGTTCTCTCCTCTTCCTCTCAAATGCTGCACATTTCTCTTTCTCTCTTCTTTGTTCTTTCTATTTTTAAATTTTTTTCCCAAAAATTGTAAATTGGAAAGGTTCTGATAAATCACATTGTGGTTTAAAAATATTTTCTTAATATGCCACTTTCTTTTTTCATTATCTAATTTGGTCTCTTCTCCCAGCATTTTATAGTACTTCTTTGTATCTTAAACCATTTGGAGAGGTGAAGAAATGAATTGTCATTCTTTCCTAACCAGAAATGTGAGTTTATTCAAGAAAAATTCTTAACTGCTTGAAGTTATTTTCTTAGTATCACTTCCTTATCCATCTGCAGTGGTCTGTAGGCCTGCTTCAAACACATAGTTGTTGACAAAATAAAGAGAGGACTTTTAAGATTAATTATTAGACCAATAGCATATTGTTATATCTGGAAAAAGAAATTCTTTTAAGGCATACTATTTGTGAATATTTAAGTGCTTAAATCAAATTAATAAGAATAGTTCATGGGAACAAAAACAAATGATTAAGGAAAAATCCAGGCAACGGGTCCTATCATACTTCTTATCTTTAAGAGTATCTTACTACTAATATTTACATTATCATGTTGCCTTACCTCAGCATGAAGCTGCTCTGTTCACCACCATCATACAATCTCAAAGTAAGCAAATAGAAATAGCACAAATAGGATGGGATTTTTGAACATATTTTTACTTAAAAAAAAAACCTACTAGAAGTTTGATTGATAGTAAGTATATGCAGAACGATCACCAGCAAATGGGATACAAATTATTAGGTTTATTGCTGGATGAACAAGTTGCCAAAGCTCTACCAAGTCTGACTTCTCTGCTAATAACTTGCCTGTGGAACACTGCTTGGATCCTTTTCTTCAGATGATATTCTTATTCTAACCCTGAATGTAGACCTTGAATTCTCCCTATGAAAAGAGTTGGGTCAGCAGAACAGTTTCCAAGTCAATATAATTAATTTGCCACCTCATTACAATGCAGTTGTCAGACTAGAAGTGAGCGAATTGTTTCCTACCCATGAGTGCCCACAGCAGAATAAAAAGTGCAGAGTAGGGTAAAAGGGGGGCAGTGCCTTCTGCATTTTACCACAGATAAATACATTAAAGTGGGTTTAATATATTTCTCTCTTCTAACTCAAAATAACTCACTACTGGAATATTGTTCAGCAAGTGTCAGGCTCTGGCCACTGGGAGGAGAAAACAAGAAAAGAACTCACGCAGCACTTTCAAGGGAAAATTATTGGCGGAAGCTACTCATGTTGGTTGAAGTCAGGAATGCTGGGAGAGGAGAGGACCTTCAACAACATTCTTTCATTTTGAAGGCAATTTAAAAACAAATATTTATTATGTATAGCTCAATCTATAGTTTTCACCTTTATATGAATTCCTCAGTTTCAAAGTTTGTTTCAAGTTATTTACTGTGATTTTGTGACAAATACTTTAAACAATTGTGATTTTTAAAAGTTCTTTTATGAACAGATAAATATATGTGTAAAAAATATAAAACTTTTGATGTATGGAATCATTAGAAGGATGATGATTTTTATCTAAAGGAAAATAGTATTTTGAAACTACCTCTTTTTTTTCCCCTTTGTATAACAAGACAAAAATGATAATATTACGAATAAATGTAGAAGTAATGAGTTGTTTCAGAGACCTAAATAGTGATGTTGAGTAGTGATGTAACTAATGACTAATGCTTCTTAGAAGCTTTCCAGTGATATACAATTCCATAACCTAAAATAAGTTTAAGCATTTACTGAGACTTCTTCATAACTCGTTAAATGGAGTTATGCAGATAAAAAATAAATATGCAAGCAGCAGAGCTATGGTAAATCCTGGGATCAGTTGGTACTTAATTCTTAATTAAGTACCAGATGCTTAATTCTTAATTAATAAAATTTATCATTCTTGAAATTGAAATAGAGGAATCAAGCTGTGTAGTAATATGTATCTTTTGGTTAGCTTTCTGCTTTGGGAGAAGAAATTCTAGAAAAAATTTATTTTCCATTTTAAGACATTTCTTAAAATTGGCCACTTTTAGAGAAATATCTTTAGATTTTGAAACTTTTCTTTCTTATTGTACAAGATAATTTCTTTTTTTATGGTGCTGGGGATTGAACCCAGGGCCTTGTGCATGCAGGACAAGCACTGTACCAGCTGAGCTATAATTTCTTAAATTCTGCCTTCATACAGTATACATACAATAAAATTTGACCTTTGGAAGAGGAGTCACAGAATTTTCAATTTTATCAACATATAAATATATGAGACAACCCTTTTTCCTAGATTATCTGACTTTTCAACTATTCCTTTACTGTTTTTTCACAATGTGATATATGAAATAATACCATAAAAACTTTGCATGCATGCATATGTGCACATACACACAAACACGAAAAATGATTCACTAAATTAAGCAACACTAGACATAAAAAAGAATCATCTTGGTCAGTTTAAAAAATAGTAATGATCTTCATATCATTGGGTTATATAAGGGAGATTGATAAGTAGCATTCCTCCAACAAAGTTCACAACCAATTAAGAGTTAAGGTAAAACAATAAAACTGATAAAAGGCCAAATGCTGATAATATAATATTGTATAATATGAGTTATACCATTGGGCAAGTTTCTTAGTATTGAATCCCAGAATTAGACAGACTAGCCCTCCCACATTTGTTCAACAGTGGCTACCTCAGTTTACTGTGGGTGGGGGTCCTCTTTCAGTGAAACTGAAAGCAGAGAGGGAAGGAACACAACATGTATTCTCTGTGGGCAAACAAACTGCCAGAAAAAGTGGAAGATACTGAACTTCTCATTTCTATTTTGTCCTTTCAAACTCATAATCAAATAAGTCATATTACTTACCAAGAAGAAATGAGGGACTAGAAAGGTTAAAGGAGTAATGCTAATGGCATTTCCTCCATGTGTAAAGAAATATCAGGTACAGAGGAGTCCCCTCTTTCCCTCCCTTGTATTTAAGATCTTTGTTTTGTAATTCTAGCTATGACAGTAATTTTTAAAAATCAGTATAATTAACTTTCTTTACATTTCTTATCCCTGGTACCAAACTAGTTTCATGTCTTAAAACACATATAGATGCCTTCCACAGAATTGGACTGTTTGCTGTAGAATAAAGACCTTGGAAAGAACTTTTAGAATCATTAAGGATCAAAATCCCTTAGTAAAGAAATAAAATGATTAGTATACAAGGTTACAGAGTTGGATAATGGTAATGCTGGAACTGTGTAACATAATTATCTCTGAAATCTCAGTGATATTCAGACTAAAATATTTTAGGGTGGTTATAAAAGTGACCAAAAGTAGAATCAGTGTTAGAATTGAAGGAGAAAGGCCAAAGAAGCATAGCTATATACATCTAATTAACATTAAATTTAATTAAATAATACGATTACTGCATACCAGGCATTATGCTAGGCACTAGGGATAGAGTTTTCAGCAAAATGGCCATGTTCTACCTTTGATATATTATCAACTGTGCTTAATAGTGTGAGAGAAAACTTTTGGCTATATTATATTGTATACAAATGTAAAAGGCCAATAGTTTTTGCATTTTCATTGTTTTTCCATGATTGGACCAACACCAAGTTATAACTCTGTCCCCTTCTTAAACTTGTACCTAAAAAAAATAAGACATATGTATAATAGGTTAAAGTTTGCAGCTTCTGTGAAATCACCTGAGGGAAAGAAAGACCCCATTTCTAGAAGTACTTCTCTGGTCCCTCCTCATCTGAATTTCTGGCACTACAACCTAATTCTTTGGGGTAAAAGACTCGTAAGCTGCAGCCTAGTTTTGTACATTAGCAGGCAAACTCTAGAATGCAAAGTTCTTATCTACTCAAACATCTCTAAAGAAAAATTAAAGAACAGATTTGACATGTACAAGAAAAATCACTAGGATGCACAGAAGTGTGTGTCCCATAAAGAGATTTATTCTAGTTGAAAAATGTCAGACTGAATGAAATGGAGGTGTGTTTTAATGACCTTAAGGTAAGAAAAAACATTTAAAGTCATTTAGAATTAGTTTGGAGTGTTAAATTTTTCTCCTTTTAAGGGATTTATATGGGGTCTGGTTTTTCTATTAAGTTCTAACATCACATCATGCAAACTTATGTGAACGGTACAGATTTTCTGTAATTTATGTTTTGGTGAATATGAACAACTAATCTATTGCAGGGTTTATATCCTAACTTTTCTTGCATGTCACTGCCATTGAAACTCGCATGAAAAGCACTAACTACCTTCTTTCTCTTCTCCCTGATTTGCTTCAAGGCTGCCAGACAGATCAAGGATAGGTATGGTATAAAAACTATATTTTATTTAAGTATCAATATTGAAGTCAGAAATGAAATTCAGAAATAGTTTTTTATTAGAATTTTGGTTTAAATAAAAATGCCCAATGGCCAAGTATTTTTACAAAATAAAGATATCTCTATATCCTCTTGGGGTAATCAGTAAGATTTTTTTTAAAAAATGTGTTTCAAGAACATAGTTATGGACAATTATGTGCTTCCAAAAGAATTTCATTTCTGGTATAATAATATAGTTAGTTTTAGAAAAGTTCTTAACTAGTTGTATTAGTGGAGAGGGTACTATTTTGAATAATTTAAAAATACGTATTCCTGGAATGCATTTTCATTGTTTTTAGATTTAAATATAAGCAGATCTTATTTTCAGAGAAGTCACAGTATTTTAAAATAAGTCCTCAATAGCTAAAGTTCTTATACTTCACTCTTTAACACCTTTGTATTCTCATTCTATCCTGTTCCTGGTGCCATCTCTTTCTGTTTCTAATGCCATCACTATCTAGTTTATGTTCTGTGGGAAGAGAAAATTATTAAAGACGTTAGCTTAGAATGTTTTTCTCATTGGTAGAGGTAATAATAAAAAAGAGAACTTAGCAGTTGCGAAATGAATATATCAGAATGCTTAAATTGCTGCTGGCTACATTTGGATTGTGTTCACACAGCAGGAATGGATTTGGTCTGCTTGACCAGTCATTGAGCATTGTCTGTAGAGAGAACATAACTTAAGGTTCTTCATCTGAGGATCATAAGAATTTCTGAAAGGCAAAGCTCTTCAAACATTATTCTGAATCTTATATTAAATTGTTGTTCATCAGATAATTCATGAAAATACTCCTTTTGGATTGTATGAAAAAAAACAGTGTAGCCATTGTTAATTTTTGCAGGAATTTTCAATTCTGGTTTCTCTTATTTTTTAATTTGACTAGAAGGCAAGATTTACACAGTAGTAAAAGCATTTTTAGCACAAATATTAATTTTTTATCTTTTATATTTTACATCAGGTAGTAGTTAAAGGTATAGGTTGTTCTTATACATCCTGGATATAGAAAAAAGATTATGAGAAGTTTTTATTTTATTTTATTTTTTCATTGTTTTTTTTAAGAGACAAGGCCTCATTGTGTTGGCCAGCTGGACCCAAACTCCTGGGCTCAAGCAGCCCTCTTATCTGAGCTTCCAAGTAGTTGAGATTATAGGCACATGCCACCATTCCTGATGTGATTATGAGAGGTCAAAGGTGAAACATTAGCAATATGAGTAATGACTAATACAATAGTTTATTAATGAAGTAGATTTGAGTTGTGTCTGCTGGAATTTGCTATGAGCAATCCAAATTCCATTCTGCCTAGATTATTTTTTCTGTTTAGCTACTATTCTGTTACATTCTCCTCTGGTTCCTTATTTTTTGTATTAGAAGTCACTTCCTAATCAGACTTTGGGCTGTCCAAAGACCTTGTGAGAGACCTTGCAAAATCTTCATTTCAAGATTCTGTATGGTTGTGCTTCCCAGAATTCTGTCCTTATTCCTGATCTCTTTCTCTTTGTCCAGATTTGGCATAATTTTATTTTATGAGCACCTTTCATGACTGTATTCTTCACTGAAGCTTGACTTTACTTCCTCTTCTCAGCCAGCAGGCCAGGATTCCTTATTTCTGTTAGGGAAAATTTCACTTTTTAATTTGTTTTGCTCAAAGTTTATATCTATTTTTTTTTTTAATTTTTTGGCTACTTACAAAGTATTTGCTTCCTGCCTGAGGAGTGTTTCTGGGTCTTAGCTTAATTATTTAAACATGATTTTAGCTTCATAAAACCCAGATTTCCCTAATATAGTTTCTGATCTCTCAGAAAACGAGTTTCTAGAATTCCATCATTACCTTTTGTAGTATGAAAATAGTTTTAAAATATAGTCATAATGAAATATTGTTTCATCAAGCTAAGAAGGGATTATTCTCTTATGTAAAGATGAATTTTAAGGAAGAATTTAAAATCTGAGCAAGGAATCAAATTTTTAAAAATGACCAAATTATATTGTTGTATTATGTGCATGTACAAAGATGTAACAATAAATCCCACTAAAGATTTTTAAAATGAACTAAAAGTATATTGAAACTTCAGTATCATTTGCTATGATTTAAGGTAAAAGAATGGCAGGAGTGAGAAGGAAAACTGAAGACTGAGAAATAATACATGGCATATTTCCAAAAATTTAAAATCACTGGTGTATAACTTAGGGAACTTGTTAATTTGGGAAGATGATTAGTTGAGAGAGAGAGAGAGTGAGTTATTGCTGGGTGTGATGGCACACTGAGAAAGGGGGAATCATAATTTTAAGGCCAGCCTCAGCAATTTAGTGAGGCTCCACACAACTTAGCGAGACCCTGTCTCAAAAAAAAAAAAATTAAAAAGAGATGAGGAATGTAGCTTTAGTGGTAAAGTGCCTCTGAGTTCAATTCCCAGTATACCCCCCACAAAAAAAAAAAAGAGGAGAAAGGGAGAGAATTATTGGTTCTTGGAAGAGAAGGATCATGAAGAGGAGAGGCAAATTAGGTTGTCTGAGAAAATTAAATGTGTTCATGTGTTTTATATAGTTGCTTTCTCTTTGCAAAAAGAAGGAAGCCATCCTTGAGTTCAGCTGATACTATTAGAAGTAAACTCATAAGCAAGTCAAGGTGAAACATGCTTAACTACATGAATCTCTAGAGATGATTTAGAAATTTGAGATTTGTAATTTGGGCTTTGAGGCACATTTGTTTAAATATATTCAGTTTAAAAATAAAAGATATTGAAAGAGTGTAGCATGGTTGCACATTTGAATTGATTCATTTGAACTTTTAAGTTTTCATTGACTAGGAACCAGTTTTATTTTAGGCTTTGCTAAACCTTTCTAATCCACTTTTGGTAGACATTCTTTTTGTTTGTACTTATAGTGATTAAATCAAGTTTTATAGATTTTGCAGGTTTCATATTTTAAATTTTCTAAAATACTTTCTGATAATTTCCCTCAGCATTTCTCGTTAAAGAGTCATGTTGTTTATCAGGCTTAGAAGAAACCAAGTAAGTTCAAACCCATTCACTGATTTAGAGAGTGTTTAGTAAGAACCTATTTTAATGTAACTCTTACTGATGTCTTCAAAGGATACTTGAGACTATAAAGAACAACATACAAGACTAAGCGTTTATTCCTAACTTCTTGATATAATTTGAAATTTATTATTTGAGAATAAACAGCTTAATGTAATAAGTGTGGAATACTAGCATTATATTTGTCAATACAGTAAGCAGTCATTTTGAGTTCTCTTCCCTATAAATTGATTTTAATGTAGCACTTTCTTTTTGGTAAATAAATCAACTGTTTATTCATTGTTGTGTAGTGATTACTTTTTTAGTTGTAAATAACTGAAAACAGCAACATTTTGACATTTTTCATTTCCAAATAAGTAAATACATCTCTGTCTTGGTTAGATTTGATAGATCTGATTGACTAGGCGTGGCCTGGTTCCCTTTGTTCTTCCATCTCTATTTACTTTCTCTCCCAAATTAGGTACTAGGAGAATGCATTCATGAATAGTGCTTCTGTGTACCATTCTTTGATCAAAGATTATAAAGGACTTTGTAACACCTGTGGAAATTTACTGTTAATTTGAAATATAATGATAGTAAAAGGGTTTTTTTTGATCTCCAGTTTTAATTGAAAATAGTTTCCTTACACTATTGACAAATTAAGATCTAGCTTGGCTTCATTCTTTTTTTTAACTTCACATTCATCTAGTAAGTGTTTGTTGAAGTCCTATTATTTCCATGGCATGTAGTTCCATGGGGCTGTTTCTCTTAATATCCTTCCATGTATGTAGCTAATGCTGACAGATCAGTGACCTCTGCTGGTATGATATTCACTGGTCATGATTTCACCTTTTTCCTTTCTCATCCATGGCATGTCTTTAACAGGTACTACTATACTATACAATATTATATCCATCTGCTTCAATTCTTGTTGTAGGGTACACGATGTAGCTATTACTACAGGGGAGAATGTTTGAATCAGGTTGTATATACACTTCACTATTTGGCATGTGAAAAGGAGTGGGGGTGGCATCAGGAGGTCAGTATGATTGAGTGTACAGAGGTTCAGATGAAGGTTGGGTCTGGTAAGGATTATTTATATGGGATATTTCTTTTATTGATATTGGTACATTATACGGTTGTATAAAACTGGATGGAATTGCTAAGTTATCTTAGAGGTCTTTAAAAGGCATTTTTCAGATTTTTACTTAATTTTCAAAAGACAGATTTATATTTGACTGTTCTAGTCTCTGAAATCATTAGAATGAAATAATTTTTGTCTTTTCATTTTATACATTAAATGATTTGATACTTCTTGTTCTTCTGTTTTAAAAAGTATATTTGTGTTTACCATAGAGTCACAATGGCTTCAGCCTTTCGCCTTTCTTTGAAACCAAAGGTCAGTGACAGCATGACTCACTTAATGGTGGATTTCTCTCAGGAAAGACAGATGCTGCAAACTTTGAAGTTTTTGCCAGGTAAACAGCATGTATTACATGTACAGTTTTTAATAAAAATTTTTCCTGCAATGCTTTTCTGTAATGAACATTGGTATATTAAAGAAGCATAGTGTGATTTTTTCTTCATTCCACTAAATATTTAAATTTGGTAGTCTTTATTTTTAGAGAATTATTTTACTGGTAGTAAATATTCTATTTCAAGAATACCATTAAGGAGTATCATTTGATGGTTAACAGTGGGTCTTTAGACCAAACTTTTTTAGATTTGAATTTTGCTGTATTCTTGCCATGTAATCCTGAACAAGTTTCTTGACTTGCCTCATTTCTGCTTCTTTAGAATGTGATATTATTCTAGGGTTTTTGTAAGGATTAAATGAATTGATACTTCTAAGGCATTTGTATAATAGTATATGGCACATAGTTAAAGCTCAGAGGATGTTAGCTGTTGGCATATTATGTGATTGTATAAAGCTGGATGGAATTGCTAAGTTATCTTAGAGGTCTTTAAAAGGCATTTTTCAGATTTTTACTTAATTTTCAAAAGACAGATTTATATTTGACTGTTCTAGTCTCCAAAATCATTAGAATGAAATAATTTTTGTCTTTTCATTTTACAAATTAAATATATATGTGTGTATATATATATATATATATATATATAAACAGCAGATTGTATTACAATTCATATTACATATACAGCACAATTTTTCATATCTCTGGTTGTATATAAAGTATATTCACAACAATTCATGTCTTCATACATGTACTTTAGATAATGATGTCCATCACATTCCACCACCTTTTCTAACCCCCTGCCTCCTCCCTTCCCTCCCACCCCTCTGCCCTATCTAGAGTTCGTCTATTTCTCCCATGCTCCCCTTCCCTACCCCACTATGAATCAGTCTTCTTATATCAGAGAAAACATTTGGCATTTTTGGGGGGGGATTGGCTAACTTCACTTAGCATTATCTTCTCTAACTGCATCCATTCACCTGCAAATGCCATGATTTTATTCTCTTTTATTGCCAAGTAATATTCCATTGTATATATATATATATATATGCCACATTTTTTTTTATCCATTTATCTATTGAAGGGCATCTAGGTTGGTTCCACAGTTTAGCTGTTTTGAATTGTCCTACTATAAACATTGATGTGGCTGTGTCCCTGTAGTATGCTGTTTTTTCGTATAGACCAAGGAGAGGGATAGCTGGGTCAAATGGTGGTTCCATTCCCAGTTTTCCAAAGAATCTCCATACTGCTTTCCATATTGGCTGCACCAATTCCACCAGCAATGTATAAGTGTGCCTCTTCCCCCACATCCTCGCCAGCACTTATTTTTGTTTGTCTTCATAATAGCTGCCATTCTGACAGGAGTGAGATGAAATCTTAGAGTAGTTTTAATTTGCATTTCTCTAATTGCTAGAGATGATGACATTTTTTCATATATTTGTTGATTGTACATCAGAAGAAAGATATACAAAAATTAACTAAAATGCATCAAAGACCTTGCAATTAGACCAGAAACTATGCAACTTATAGAGGAAAGCAAAGGTCAACACTCCAGCATAAAGGACAGGTAATGATTTTTTTCATTAGGACCCCTAAAGCTTGGGACATAATGCCAAGAGTTAATAAATGAAATGGTATTAAATTAAAAAGTGCCTGCACAGCAAAGGAAAGAGTAATGTGAAAAAAGAACCTACAGAATGGAGGAAAATCTTTGTTAGCTGCATTTCTGACAGAGGATTAATACCTAGAATATATAAAGAACTCAAAAAGGTTTGCACCAAAAAAGCCACCTAATTAATAAATGGGCAAATAAATTAAACAGAAACTTCATAAAAGAAGAAATAAAATGGCCATTCACACCAGTCAGAATGTCAGTCCTCAGGAATTCAAACAATAATAAATGCTGGAAAGGATGTGGAGAAAAAGGAACACTTACACTGTTGGTGGGATTGTAAATTAGTACATTCACTATGGAAATCAGTTTGGAGGTTCCTCAAAAGACGAGGCATGGAAGCACCATACGACCCAGCCACAATATTTATCCCAAAGAATTAAAGTCATCATAGGGATACAGTCATACCCATGTTTTTATAGCAGCACAATTCACAATAGCCAAACTATGGAACTAGCCCAGGTTCCATCAACAGCTGAATGGATACAGAAAATGTGGTATAGATACACAATGGATTTTTATTCAATCACAAAAAATTATTTATTTGCAGGAAGATGGATGGAATTTGAAACGATTATGCTAAGCAAAATAAGCCAAAGTCAGAAGATCAAGGGTCATGTTTTCTCTCATATATAGAAGCTAGAGAGAAAAAAGGAAAAGAAAGATAAGGGGTGATCTCATGAAAAGCAAAGGGAGACCCGCAGAGTAGAGGAAGGTAGGCCAGCGGGTGAGAGGAGGGGAGGAAAGGGGAAAGCTCTGGGGAAAGATATTGATCAAATTATATTGTAACAACAGATTCACCATTATGTACAAATACAATGCACCTGTAAAAAAGAAAAGTAGCTCCTTTTCATTTCAAACTTGGTTTTCTTCCTAGAGCAATGTATGAGTGTGCCTTTTCCTCCACAGAGGGTACCACTGTTACTAACATCTGTTTATCTTTCCTGAAATAGTCTAAATCTATACAAACATCACCGCATGTATATGCAGAATCAGGTAGTTGCTAATATTTGGCAGTTTTTACCCTCAAAAAGATAAATTTGTTTCATTCAGTCTAATATATAATCCACCCCCTTTTGAAAATGGAAGCATACATATACACTGTTAAATACTTTCTCTTTGCCACTTGACAATATGTAGGAGTTCTTTCCAGATCATTATAGATCTACTTCATTTTTAAAAAAATAACTAGATAGTAGGAATTTAATTAGTTCTTCTTGATGGATATTTAAGTTTATGGTCTTTTTCTAGTAGTGGCAATGATGTGGTAACAAAATGCTTAGGTATTTTGCAGAGATAATATATCAATATGTCTCAAGGATAAATTTCTAGAAATGGAAATGTATGTGTATTTTAAATTTTAATAATTATTTAAATTGTCAAGGAAATTTCACAATTTATGCTTCCCTGAAAATATTTGAATGACTGTATTCTTATACAGCCACAGTTTTCAGAGTTTTTAATTTTTTTCATTCTATTCTAATAGTGACATATGGGTTATCTGATTGTTTTAATTTTCATTTCTTTAAGTGTGAATGTATTTATCCTATCTTCATAAGCCACTTTAAAAAATGAACTCCTTATCTATGATTTTTCATACAATGGTTTATATTTTCATTAATGATATATAGCACCTTTTAGTATATTAAGGAGGTTAGCCTTTGGTCCTATATGTGGCATAATTCCCTCTTAGTCATTTGTCTATTGGTTTATAATGATTTTTTTTCCTAGCAGAAATTTTAATTTTTATATAATCAAATATGTCACACTTTTTCTTTGTGACTTTTAGGTTTTAGAAAGACCTTACTTGGACCTTCCCCATTGCAAGATTATAAAAATAGATATACTTACTTTTTTAATATTCTTTTTTGGTTGTAGATGGACACAGTACCTTTATTTTATTTATTTATTTTTATATGGTGCTGAAGATCAAACCCAGTGCTTCTCACATGCCAGGCAAGCTCTCTACCACTGAACCACAACCCTAGCCCCTAGATTCATTTTCTTATGTTTGTAGCCTTTTAAAACTAGACTTTAATATTTAGAACAATTTTAGATACATAGTAAAACAATGGAAAGTATGAGAATTTCCCATATACCCACAAAACATGCTTAGCTCCCTCATTATCTACATCACCCATCAGAGTGGTACATTTGTTATAACTGATAAATCTACATTGGCACATCATTGTCACCTCAAACTCTGTAGTTTACAGTAAGGTCCACCCTTGGTGTTATACATTCTATGGGGTTGCACAAATTTATAATGACTGTAGCCACCATTATAGTATCATACATATTATTTTTATTGTCCTAAAAATTCTTTGTATTCTGGGGCTGGGGTTGTGGCTCAGTGGCAGAGTGCTTGTCTAGCATGTGTGAGGCACTGGGTTCGATGCTCAGTACCGCATGTAAATAAATGAATAAAATAAGGGTTCATCAACATATAAAAAAAATTTTTTTAAATTCTTTGTATTCTGCTTCTTTAGCCTTCTCTCCTCCCAACCCCTAGAAAATACTGATTCTCACCCTTTCCATAGTTTTGCCATTTCCAGAGGTCATATGGGTGGAGTCATACAGTAGGTAGCCTTTTCAGATTGGTATCTTTTACTTAGTGATAGGCATTATGTCCTCCATGCCTAGTTTTTTGTAGCTTGATAATTCATTTCTTTTTAGCACTGAATAGTCCATGTACCACAGTTTGTTTAGGGCAACTTGGTTTCTTCCAAGTTTTGGTAATAATGAATAAAGCTGCTGTAAACATCTATAGGCAGGTTTTGTGTGGACAAAGGTTTTTCACCTCCTTTGGGAAAATACTAAGGAGTGAAGTTTCTGGATACTATAATAAGATTATGTTTAGTTTTGCAGGAAACCTCCAATATGGTCTTATAAAGTGTCTATATTATGTTGCGGTCCCACCAGCAATGAATAAAATCCTTGTTGCTCTACATTTTGTTGCTTTACAGCATTGGTACTGTAGTGTTATTTCATTGTTGTTTTAATTTGCATTGCTTTAATCATGCGCCACATGAAGTAGAGCATCTTTTCATATACTTCCTTGTTATTTGAATATCTTCTTTGGTGAAGTCTCTGTTTAGATCATTGGCCTATTATTTTTTAATTCTTAATCTGATAATTCCATCACCTCTGCCATATCTGAGTCTGTTTCTGATTCTTCTTACAGTCTTTTCGGACTGTATTTTTTGCCTATAGTATGCTTGTAATTTTTCCTTTATAGCCACATATGATATATTAGGTTAAAGAAACTGTTGTGAATAGGCCTTTGATAATGTGATGGTAAGTTATGCAGGGATAGGAATCATTTTATGGTGTTTTGATTATGTCTCAGTCTTTTTGTGAATCTGTGCCTTTGAACGATGAACTTTACAGGTGCATCTCAGTAGCCCCCACTCTTACTTGCCCTTAGGTAGAACAAGATGGCTAGAGTGGACTGGAGTGAGACTGCTATTTCCCTTTGTCCTGGTGGAGTAGCCAGCTAGAGTTTTTTATTTCCTTTCACCCAGCTCAGTTAGGCTCAGATAATCCCAAAGGGGTTAGACTCTGGTTAGTTTTTTTTTTTTTTTTTTTTTGAGAGCAGATCTTGTTAAGGAAAACATAAGCTCTGGTGTATTTCAAAATGTTTCCTTTTCTACTCCCTATGGTGTAAATATAAGTGGATTTTCCTCCATTGTTCCTGATGACAACCTGTTAAGCTCTTAGAGGAAAAATTCACAAATAGTAGGTGCCCTTCTATAATTGGAGCCACCTGGGGTTTTTGACTCAAACCTACCCACACTGAGCCTCCGGCAGCTCATCAATTACAGTTTAGGTATCCTTACCCCAGCACTGGTTTCTGCTTAGGTTTTTGCTCTAGTAAATTGTGACTCTCTGTATTTACCTGTTTGTCTCTTTATATTGAGGCCTTTTAATCTCACTTCTCTTACAGGTCTAAGAATTATTATTGATTTTTCAGTTTGTTCAACCTTGTTTGTTGTTAGAAAGGGGTGGCTACTACCAGATTTCTTATGTATGTGCCAGATTGAAAAGTAGAAGTCCCTGGGAGTAAAATCTGGGTAATTAGCATATGTATCATCTCAAGCATTTAGAATTTGTACTGGAAACTTTCAAAACCTTTTGCTATTTTAACAGGTCTAATGAATTATTGTTAACAATAGTTACCCTACCTGTGAGGCACTGGGTTTGATCCTCAGCACCACATAAAAATAAATAAAGGTATTATGTCTATCTACAACTAAAAAAAATTTTTTTTAAAGTACAGTGGGGTAGGAGGGAAGAATAGAAGTTCATTGGATTAGACAAAGAAAAATGAAGGAAGGTGGCGGGATGGAATAGGAAAGAGTAGAATGAAACAGACATTACTTTCCTATGTACATATATGAATACACAACCAGTGAAACTCTACCTCATGTTCAGCCACAAGAATGAGATCCTAATTAGAATTTGTCAAGATACACTCTACTATCATGTACATCTAAAGAACAAATTAAAAATCAAAATAGGGCTGGGGATATAGCTCAGTTGGTAGAGTGCTTGCCCATGCACAGGGCCCTGGGTTTAATCTCCAGCACCACACACACAAAAAAAGAAAAAAGAAAAAGAAAAAAAGTACAGTATGTTCAGAAATAACAAGTCATTCTCGATTATTTATCCTTAGCATGTTTAGAATTTACCTTTTGCCATCTAAGATTTTAGTGAACGTTGAATAAGAAAAATAGAAAACTTTATAGATTTTTTTATAGCCTATCATTAAAAGGTGCTTTGAAAATAGTTTAGGTTGGTTTATTTATTCACTTTTGAATAGTTCAAAAGCAGGATGAAAAAGCAAAGCTTGGATGACAAACATAAATATTTTATTAGTGCTATAATAAATGAGAAATTAACTCCCCTACACACATACTTTTGTTTCTTCTCTTCAGTCCCTAAAGCTCCAGAGATAGACCCAGTGGAGTGTTTGGTGGCTGACAACTCTGTAACAGTAGCTTGGAGAATGCCAGAAGAAGATAATAAGATTGACCATTTCATACTGGAATACAGAAAAACTAATTTTGATGGACTGCCACGTGTAAAGGATGAGAGATGTTGGGAGATAATTGATAACATTAAGGGTACTGAATATATATTATCAGGTAAAATGACAACATCTCAACAGTCTCCTTAGAAAATAACTGTAATTATGAAAAATTTGTTATTTTAAAGCTTAAAATTATTAAGTTCTTTTTATCCAAGCTGATTTTTTAGATATTTATTATAGAAGTAAATTTGTTTTAAAATATCAAGAAAACCTTTGTTTTAATTACTTAAGGACATTTGTAACCTGCTAAGATAGGATACATGTAAAATAAATATGAAGCGGTATTCTGAAAATAATATTTCAAGAGTTACACTTAGTTTTCCCTTTGTTTTCAGATTATATAAAAAAGCTCTTAATTTTTTAGATGTACTCACTACCCCACAATTCACTGGTACTGTAAATATTATCACTTTTGTTATTTAGTTTTACTTTAATGTTGATAGTTAAAGTAGAACTGTGATTTGGTTTTAGAAATTTTTGTGTTGGCCTTTTGAAAGACGTTTTGAAAGATATTTCAGAATTATACTCCATACTTGTACAGTTATGTGAAAATGAACCTCAGTATTATGTATAACTAAAACAAACTAATAATGCAAAAATAATGGTTAACAAACAAACACAAAAATATTCCCAGTATAGTGGGGACTTTAGATATTTTGGGGGCAAAACCCTTGGGAGGCTGAGGCAGGAGGATTGTGAGTTCAAAGCCAGCCTCAGCAACTTAGCAAGGCCCTAAGCACCTCAGCAAGCCCTTGTCTCTAAGTAAAATATAAAAAAGGCTAGGGATGTGGCTCAATGGTGAAGCAACCTTAGGTTCAATCCCTGGTACCAAAACAAAAACAGCAACAACAAAAAAACACAGTGTTTCATAAATATAAAAATTCCTGAGAGCATCTCTTTTCCAGAAATCGAATGTGTTGTTTTGTAAATTTGTGACATCTCTCATTATATGAAGTACTGCTTTTCATGACACATAAAAGAGTACCTTTTTATCCCTGAATTAGGAAAATCATAAATTGTATATTTTACTTCTTCTGAAGAAACTAATAGGTAAATCATGATTCCTCTTATTGCAGGCATTATCACCATTTTAACATAAATTTATACTTTCCTTAAATAAAGAGATACTTCCAAGGAGGAAAAAAAAAGTCTGAAAATTCATTCTAATATTTTGGGGGATGAGTCCTTTATTTTGTGTCTGAAAACCATTTCATTTTTTCAGGCTTAAAATTTGATTCAAAATATATGAATTTCAGAGTGCGAGCTTGTAACAAGGCTGTGGCTGGAGAATATTCTGATCCAGTGACCTTAGAGACCAAAGGTAAGATTAGTAGCTATTTATACAACATGAAACATCTAAAGTTATTCAAGACTTTGTGACAGGAAGCATTGTGTGGCTGAATTCCTTCCCCACCTCCTCTACCACCCCACCTCTGACTTTCCCCACAATAAGAATTATAAGGCAGGGAAAATAGGACTATGGTAGTGGTTTCCATTTATGATTGTATTCATATGAGCAAATAGACTCATAGACTTGAGATGATAGTGTTAACATCTAAGAACCTAAGTCATTCTAGTCTCTCAGAGTAATTTGGAGTTAGTGGAAACACCCTAGTATAACATATTTGAACACAAATTTTTGCAACATTTACTAATTCGAAGGCCATAATGCCAAAGTTCTTCCCAATTGTGACATATAGTAATTGACTAAACTCTGAACATTTTTATAGGTACTTGGAACCTGGAGCTTCCATTGGCCTCTAGTTTATATGGCATTTGAATAGATTTGTATGCCAAAAATTTGATATGATTTGGAGGATGATATAAAAACATATCAGAATAAAACAAACTATGAGGCTTGAAAATTATTTTGTGTTTTACAGTGCTGGGAATCGAACCCAGTGTCTTACACATTCTGGGCAAGTACTTTACTCCAGCCCCTAACGGTCCATAAATTACTGATGAGACCAACTCAGAAAAATGTCCAAAAATATCTTAAAAAATAGGTGTAATTTGAGTAGTTTGTTTGAATTAGAAAATGTTTTTACTTGAGAACTACAGATAACGAAGATATGCAATTACTTTGAATTACATGTTATCAAACTGAGAAGTTACTGTGGTTTTTAATGAGATGTTTACCAAAGTATTGTCATACTTACAGGTAATAATCTTTTCTGTATTACTTGAGCTGTTTTTAGCCCTTGTCAAATAAAATTGCATTATTATTATATTCACCCTTAGGAGCATCATCTTTGTATTATTCCTTTTCATTATGCTTTACCAAACTTGGACATAAACGTGGTAAATTATTGATTTTTATGCATATTCCCTAAATTTAGAAATATGAATAGCTGGCTTATGGCTTCCTGGGAGCTGGGCTGGCTGCTTCTCTTAGCAATATCTGGATCTCACTAGTCACTCTTGACCTTGGGGTTTGTAGAGGGAGACTAAGTTGATTAGTCCTTTGAAGCATTTTTTACTGTTGAGAAAACCCTTTGAGGTGTGGGACCAGACTGAAACGTATCCTTGAGGGCCACTAATCATTGATTCTGATCTTCAGGGAGTAACAGAATAAAATTCATTTTACATGGCTATGGGTCACGGATTTTCTGGAGTATTTTTCACAGCATTGGCATGACTACAAATTAGAACAAGAGCTCCATAGAAGTAGTTCTACTTTTTAAAAATTACATATTAAACAATTGTTTACTAATTTGACCTGCTGTAGTCCTTTTTGGCCAACCAATAGAAATAAGCCTGTGGACAAAGATTGAAGGGAAAGGAAGAAAGATGGAGATTAAATAGTTGAGGCCTATCAAAGTTTCATATCCTGCCACTTATAGTTCTTGGTATGGAAAATAATGAATGTTGTTTATTTGTTCCTTCAGTATATTTGTTCTGGCAAGAAAGTTGTCAAAAGTGATGAGTAATAATATTTCTTATGGCTAGAATTTTAAAGATGTGTTATCATTTACTTCCTTGTAAGGATAAATGATATTATGTTAATACAAAATTTTCTATAGCCTCAAATAGTAATGACTGTGATATAATTTTATAGTATCATGAAAGCAGCTACTAACAAACATAAAACATCTGGATTCTGATTTTGGTACCCTGTTTTCACAGACTTTTAAAGATATGGAAACCAGTATGTTGTATATTACAGGGCTTATCCAGGACACAGGATCTCACTTTCAAAGAAGACTTTATTTTTTAATAATGAAGCATTATTTCTTATCTTAGAGAGGCTCTATAACTTTACTGAGGTTCAATAAAAGAACAATGCCCCTCAAATAGAAATTAAAATGATACCTCTTGGATTGAAACCTAGACCTTCTTGTTTGTTTTTCTTTTTCTTTTGTTTGTTGTTTTTAATTACCCATAGCAATAGGACTCATTTTGACGTAATTATATGCCTTCTTGTTTGGATGCTGTGTTATTCGATAAGTCTGATCACGAGTGGTTTGAAGATAGTACTTTTTTCTTGCTATCCTTGACTCCAGATTGCTGATGACCCTTTTTTTCTTCATTATAACAAACATTAAGGAACAACTTTAGGAGACCTTCTTTATCCTTAGAATTTTAATAAGCCCTTGGGAATTGATGGCACCCTCAGAGTTAAAGCCTATTTTTCTTTCTCTTAAAAAAAATGTAGATAGTGCCTCGAATGCACAAGGCCATGGGTTCAATCCCCAGCAACCCTCACCCTCCTGCCAATGTAGGTAGCCTGACTTGCTTAATAACTTAAATATAGAAGTTAACTTTGCTTTCTTAACGGCAGTTCATTTTGGAAATTGAGAGTCTCAGTGTTAATCCTAACTTTTTAGTAATCTGCCTGTTAAGAAATCATTTCCATTTTTACTGAAAAGCTTCATTGTTTCTAGTTTCTCTAAATTTATTTCTGTTTAGATGAAGGTTTTATAAGTTATTAACTTCCTTGTGTAGTATGACATTTACTAGAAGCTGTGTGGTCAGTAGATTTGTATTGAGAATGTGGTTTTATAAATAAAGACAATGAACAAAGAACTTGAAGTGTTCTTTATAGAGTGGAGGATAAAAGGATTCTTGATTAACTAGGTAAACTTCAGGCTCTCCATATGCTTTTTTTGTTGTTTGGTGATTTACACTTCACAGACACACTGAAGCCTTAGCTAAATTAAGTAATATACTTAAGTGAGATGTATTGTAAGGAGTATTCCTTCAATGAATAATTATCAGATATTTAAATTTTGGAGGAAAATATAACAGAAGCAGATTAATAGATAGCTTTCAAGATAGAGCTTCTAGAAATTACATTTTAAAATAGAAGAAACTACTCATTGTACAGCTGTTAATACATTTCAATGCTTTTCCCTGAGTTCTAAAAGAGGGAAGCTTAATGCACTGATCTCCTAAATTAGCAGTTTGACTAAGCAAGTCTTGTGAATAGTACAGATACTTCCTGATAATACTAAATAATCTGAAAGGCATAACTTTGTTTCATGATTTTTTTTGTTTTTTGTTTTTGTTTTATTTTTATATTAGTGGAACTTTTCACCCTTCTACTCTTTGCCACATAAATCATTTATCAGCTAGATCAATTTTCTCACTTCTGCCAGGCTACCTCCAATTTCTTCCTACTCATCTTAATTTGAAACTAAGAAGTGTTTTAAGTATGAAATTATTAAGTATTATACTGTCAGAGAAGACATGTGTGCCCCAGACTTTTACCCTGTGATTATAATATCACTTTTTCCTTCTTAATTCCTACCAGTTCCCCTTCCTATTTACTCAAAACAATCAATTGATAACCATCGGGTATTCTAATAACAGGAAATTGAGGATACTGTGTGTTGATATAGATTCTTGTAGAACGAATAGCAGAAATACCAGTCCTGAACATTGAAGGCCCTGAACATTGCATTGTATTGTGTTAGAGTACGGGATATTTAGAGGAGAATAATGGAAAATAAGTGAGGAATTGTAAATTAAAACCTAATCATTGAGAACTTTAAATGTTAACATTAGTAATTTGAATTTTATTCTCTGTATACAGTGTTGAATCAACTGACTAGAGAAGTTATTGCTCATAGGTGTGCTTCAGAAAGTGGAGATATATAATATTTTATATTGTCTCGAACAGCACTGAATTTCAGTTTGGATAATTCATCATCCCATTTGAACCTGAAAGTTGAAGATACCTTGGTAGAGTGGGATCCTACTGGAGGAAAAGGTCAAGAAAGTAAAATCAAAGGGAAAGAGAACAAGGGCAGGTAACGTAGCTCATTAAATCTGTTATATGGATAAATGCTTGTACATTGGTTCTTATTTGATAATATTAAAATTCTTATTCTGTATACCAGTATGACTTATGATACATTAGTAATTCCAAAGTGAAAAATATAACATTGCTTGTCAATACATGAATCTGTCATTAACATTTTCACATTACTTTTTTCTTAGTTTCTTTCCTAATCTCCTTATACTTTTAAAAAATTTTATTATCCCATTTCCTTAAAGTTATATATACGGTAACTTGAACTAATTAGATGTTCCTAGAATAATTTCTGAATATTGGGCTTATCACCTATCTCACCTAAAAGTCTGCATTAGATGACAACTTTTACAGTTTATAAAAGCCCCACAGACTTGCCTGTGATGGTGGAACCCAGTGAATCCAAGAGTCAGGCTCAAGAATCTTTTGTTATTGTCATAACTTACCTAAATAATGTCAAAGTTTGGGAACTTTTTTCTTTTTTTACACAGGAAGTTTTTGCTGAAGATGATATTTTTGTGAGTTCTAACAATGAATTTTTTAAAAATCCTCAGCAGGCTTTTAATCTAATTTTATTATAAGAAGTTAAACTTAATTTGTAAAGCAGTCTCTTAACAGTTGCCTATTTTTATCTGACAGTGTCCATGTTACTTCACTGAAGAAACATACAAGGTGATGATCTATGTCTGTCTAGTTTTAGGACTTAGTATATCTAGCTTGGCTGAGTAATTTTTTCTTTTAACCAGTAAACAGAAGCCACTGCAGCAGGCTTCAAAGCTAAAATATTGCTCTGTGTAGACTGTCTGTATTTTTGTAGCTTATGTTTTGAATTTATAGCATTATAGTGTGCTGCTTATCATTTGGATTATATTGTATAAAGATAACAAAATAAGCTTTAAAGTCTTCTTTAATTATTTTTTCTACTTTATTTATAACTGGCATCTTTCCTATTGTATTGAGTTAAATATATCTAACATTATTGCTTTGCTTTTTTTAATACGTTTAGTTGTTGATGGACCTTTATTTTATTTATTTATATGTAGGACTAAGAATTGACCCCAGTGCCTTACACACATGCTAGGCAAGTGCTCTACCACTGAGCTACCATCCCAGCCCTTGCTTTTTTTTTTAATATTTATTTTTTAGGTTAGATGGACTCAACACAATGCCTTATTTTATGTGGTGCTGAGGATCGAACCCAGGTCCCGCCTGTGTTAGGCGAGCGCTCTACCGCTGAGCCACAATCCCAGTCCCCAGCCTTTGCTTTGCTTTTATTTGTATTCAACACGAAGCAAGTTTGAAATGTTCTGTATTTTATAATAATCATGCAGCTTCCAAAGTATCAAGGTTAAGAAATAAAAGTCACTGCAGAAATTATTAGGACAGTGTCAGAAAAAAATGAATAATTTCAAATTACATGGTTAATAACATGTTTATTGAAGATACCATATATCTTTACCAGAAACCAGAATATATTCTCTTTTCAAAGTTACCTCCACTCTTCTTTTCAGTTTATTTGTTCATTATTGATAAAAGTGATTTCACAGTGTGCTATAAATTATAAAATGCTGTTGGGTTTAATAGTCTTACAAAGTTTTATTTGGTTACTTGGACGATTTTTAGACTGCTTTGTATTTAGCATTGCAGGTTATATTTCTTTCTCTCTTTTCTCCTTTTAAAAGTATTTTATATGTAGGCCACTTCCGGAATGTTATACAGGTTCGGATCCCTTATTTGAAATGCTTGGGACTCAAAAAGTGCTTTGGATTTCAGATTTTTTTGTATTTTAGAATAGTTGCAAATACATAATTAATTATATTTGGTGGGGACCCAATTCTAAATCCAGAATTCATTTATGTTTCACATATACCTTGGTGGGGACCCAATTCTAAATCCAGAATTCATTTATGTTTCACATATACCTTTATATATATATATGTACATAGGTAATTTTATATAATATTTTTTTAATGTATCTATATTTTGGCTGTGTCTTGTCACATGAGCTCAGGTGTGGGATTTTTTTATTTGTAATTATGTTGGTGCTTAAAAAGTTTCCAATGTCAGAGCATTTCAGATTTTTGGATTAGAGCTGCTCAAACTACATATATTCATTTACTTTTTTAAAAAAAAAAAAAAACATGGTGTCATTTAAAAAAAAAAAACTTTATTTTGTTTATTTATTTATTTATTTATTTTTATGTGGTGCTGAGGATCAAACTAAGTGTCTCACACGTGCTAGGCAAGTGCTCTACCACTGAGCCACAACCCCAGCCCTCTTTCATTTTTTTATTTTTTCATACATAATTGTTCACTGTTAAATGTGTGCTGAATGTTATGGAGTTTATAGGGATAAACACTGTTCTTGCCTCAAGAAATTTGCTTTAACTCATGTAGATAAGATTGCAGAAAAAAAGCAAGATAAACATCATGTGTAAGGATAAATGTGAATAAAAGGGTTCAGAGGGGAAAGATGTCCAGAGTTCTCGGGTACTGCGAGACAGTGAGGACAGTGAGCCAAACTGAAAGTCAAGCTTTTGCTGATTTATGGTGATAAGTAAGAAGTCATGAAGGAATGAGTGGGTTCCTTCAGTGTTCCATTTTTCCCAGCAAATGACACTAGTTGGAGGTCCAATGACTCAACCCAGATCACAGTTAGAGGGTCTTCTCACTGCCAGGAGGTTCCAAATAGAAAACTTCTGCTTTATGGACTTGAGAGCTAAAAAGGTAGGGACAAGAGGGTTAAAAATGGAAACATACTAAGTGAAAGGTCCTTACCGCCTTATTTGCTCTTAAGGAGGTCTTCCTGAAGGTATTTAAAAAGAATCTCAGTATAGGGTTTCCTTCCCATGGGGGGCCTTTGAATAGAGTGACAAGGCTAGGAATGCAAATAGCCCATGAGCTCACCGTTGGGGAAGAGGATGAAATTGCAACTTCCTGTAGAAATCATGATGCCCTAACTAACTATGCACCAAGTCTGGTATAAGAAGGGCAGCCCACCCTATCCTTTGTCCTACCCCTGCAAATCCTGTCACATAAAGCCTGTGTAATTGCCTGTGATTGAGTATGAAAGGATTTTGGCCTGGACTAGATTGCTAAGAAAAGTTATTTAGATGGTAGGATTTGGAAGACCTTTACTAAAGGAATGGTATTAAATTGCTTCTTGGGGAAGAGGGAGAATTTGTGGTATTCAGCTTTGCAGTGAGAGTGGGGAACAACAAGAGGAAAAACACTTAAGCAGACTGAGTGAGTTTAAAGAACACTTTGGTACATTTGGTTGTGTAATACTCTCTAGGGTGAGAAGGGTAGGAAGGCGGACTAAATCATTTGTAGATAATATGGAAGTACATGTTGATTTTGAAGTAGGGGAATAGAGCTAAGTTTATCTTATAATAGTGAACAAGATGAACTGGATAACAGAAAGAACATTTGGGAAACTGTAAAATAATTTGGCCCAAGGAACCTTTATGAAGCGAGGTGGAAGGTCATGTTTTTACTTAAGATGTTAATAACTATTGTACCTCTTGCAAAAATGTACTTAGAGTTGGAATGCAGCAATGGAAGAGTAACCCTCTAACTTTTCTCTGAAACTCAACTGCCATTCTCAATAGTTATGACTGTTTTTCTTTTCTCCATGCTTCCCTTTGTTTCTTTACTACTGGTAAGTCACAATTTTTTTTCTTAAAAAATATTTTTCTGGCTATCAAGTGAGCTCTTATATTTTGAAGCAGTGCTAAGTAAAAATTTTGTTTATTTATACATTGTGACTTTCCTTTGCTATTTGTCACTCTGAATTACCTGGGAAATATTTTTCAAAATGCATATTTCTTCTAAGCAGACAATTGGGCCCACTAACTGAGAAGGGAAACTGTCCTATTTTTTAAAAATTATTTTATTTATTTATGTGGTGCTAAGGATTGATCTCAGTGCCTCACACAGGCTAGGCAAGTGCTATGCCACTTAGTTATAGCCCCAGCCCTGTCATTGTATTTTAAAAAGATTTCCTGGTTGCTTCTGATTTTGTTGCACCTTCTCAGTTGATGATTGATAATTTATTACAAAATCCCAAAGCCCTGTGTTTCTCCAACTCAGGTGTATGGTTCAGGAAAGGTTATGTAGTCCTTAGTTAATAACATCACATATTCCACTTCCTTAGTTTGCATTCATTTTAGTCAAGATATTGCGCACCTACTGTGGACTGAGGATACAGAAATGAGAGATGGTTCCTGGCAATTGTTAACTTCCCTTTCCATCAGCTACTCAACTGTTTCATCATTTCCCATAGCAGCCATGTACCAAGGGCCCAATATAGTAGATTGTATAATAGCTATATTTTCAACATCACCCTTTTCATCTCTGCCCCTTGTTAAGTGGGGTATTTATTAACTTCAGTGGCCCCTAGCCCTACTGAACAGCAAAATCTGAGGTGAGGCCTGATATTTGCATTTTTAAAAGTTCCCCAAGTGGGCTAGGTATAGCTTAGTGGTAAGAGTGCTTGTGTAGCATGCACAAGTTCCAGGGTTTAATTCCCATCACAGCAAGGGAAAAAAAAAAAAGTTCCTCAAGTGGTTCTGATGTATACCCAAAATTGAGAACCACTGGTTTGGTTTATTTAATTCCTCCTCATCCCTAGTTACACATTTACTCTAATCTCTCATCGTCTTTCATTTGATTCTTACCCACAGCAAAACTTCTTGACTTTTTTTTAGCTCCATCCCTCAGTTGAAAAACAGTTGTAGTTATGAATTAAGTGTAAGGATAGTACCACCACTACTAAAAAGCACTGGGGATTGAAGTGGAGTTAGATATAATGAAGAGCTAGTTACAAAACTAATTTTCTATAAATACTTATAATTAAGATTAATTAAACCAGGCATGGTGGCTCATGTCTGTAATCCCAGTGGCTCATGAGGCTGAGGCAGGAGGATCTCAGGTTCAAAGCCAGCCTCAACAATTTAGCAAGGTCTGAAGCAACTAAGTGAAAAACCCTATCTCTAAATAAAACATAAAAAGGGTTGGGGATGTGACTCAGTGGTTCAGCACCCCTGGTTCAATCCTGGTGTCAAAAAAGGAAAGGATTAATTAAAACTACTTATTTTACATAATTATCAACATTCAGAGTTGAATTAACTTGGAAGGAGGAAGATTAATGTGCAATTAATATTTTGGTGACTTTGTGAATTGGGCAATTTTTGGTGAGCTATCCTGAATGACTACTCATTTTTTTCTAGAGGAGAATTTCATTTTAGATAAGTGGTTTCAATGAACTTTTGAAGAATAATGGTAAATCATACTAAACTCATTAAACAGATAGTCTGAAGACTTAAACGTTTTTGATACAATTTACAAACCATGTTAAGCCAGTCTTATTTTTGACCCCCTCTCTTCTTATGTCTTTCTATTGATGTATCAAAAACAGTGGTTTTTATACTTTTTTTCCCCTTTTTGTGTACAACAGAGTGGTTTTTTCAATTGAAATGTTTCCAGAAGCCTGAGCTGAAAAGAGAAGAGGATTGCTGGTTCAAGTAGGGAAGGAGCCCTAGAGCAGGTGTCTTCCAGAGTCCTGTAGCAGCCTCTGTGGCATCTGTATAGTTCAGGACATGGTTTGAAAACTACCCACTTCGAAATACTTTTTCCCCCAACAGAAGATAAAAATAATGCTACATTTAAAAGAAAATTCAGAGGAAATGACTGTTATCTTTTCTCCTTAGTTCAAGATAAAATACTTGAAAATACACAGACCTTTTATAAGGTCTTTTGTGTGTGTTGGGGAGCGTATTGGTAATTTAATCCAGAGTTGCTCTACCACTGAGCTACATCTTCAGTCTTTTTTATTTTTTGAGATAGGATCTAACAAAGTTGCTGGCCTTGAACTTGTGATCCTTCTGCCTCAACCTCTGGAGTAGCTGGGAAGGTTTTTAAACATTCTTGATTAGCTTATATGAAAAGTATCAGAAAGAAAATTGTGATGCAGTGTTTTTTTCTTAATGTCAACTTAAGATGTCATTGACAGAATGTAGAATTTGCTTTCTTACTACTTAATGACACCTCCCCCCAAAGGCATATACAAATGTTTATTTTGGAAAGTAGATAACACATTTAAGAGAGAATGGGAGCAGTCTCAAAAAAGAGATGCCTTGGGGTAAAGCAAGGAATATTCCTAGGGAGCATGTGGGTTATCTCCAGAGGGAGAGACAGCAACCCATTAGTGTGGGCCACTCATGTTTATAGAGGGCAAGTGCTAGGGGATGAACTAGAGGTGGAGGCAGGGTGGAGCTACACAGTTTTGCACCAGTTTCCCTTTGCTTGTGCATTTCCTTAACATGCATGGGCCAAGGGCATGTAGCTCAAGATTGACAATTGTGCTTTCTGCATGTCAATGGCTAGTGGGCATTTCCTTTAAGACTCTCTCTCTTTATCCTAAATCCCTGTGTCCTATGTAATGACTTTTAATATTATATAATAAGTATTATCTTAGAAAACCTGGTTAAATCAAACTTTAAGAAATTAAAACGTATTTATTCAGAATAATGGGTATAAATTTTTCTTCTTTTTTATTTATTTGTATCCTCTGTTTTGGAGAAGGTCCCCAAAACACTTCTAGATTTCTTCTACCCATCAAATGTTTGTTCTCTCCCTTCCCAATAGGAAGCAACTACTAACTGCCTACCTGAGCACAAGTTTCAGAGAAATTTTAATCTACCTGTCCTTAATCACCTCAGTTCATGCTGTCTGTTCGAATAGAATTTATAATTAATTACTTAAGTCTTTTTTTAAAGAAATATCTTTATAAAAAGAACTTTTAACATCATTTTGGAAGAATTAAACCAACTCATGTAAATGCTGTAGGTATAAAGTGCTGCTTAATATCATTTACTAGAATGTAGACAAAGTGGTCCTGAATTCATTGTTTAATTCTCTGAAACTGCTTAATAAATCTGCTAACATTGACAACATTTAAGTAATGCATAATGCAGTCACTTAATCATGTAAAATGACTTTAAATCGTATCTTTATTCTTATTTTGCATTTTTATGGGATTTTTTATTACAATATTATTTGATAGCTTATTAAAATTTACTAAGTTGATTTCTCCTTAGGAAGAAAAATTCTAATGCAAATATATTGAAAAAGTCTTATTTTTTCTTTTTAGTAGTAAGAATATACATTTCCCCTAAATAACTTTATCATAATCTTATCCCCAAAATTATTGCTTTTTAAATGCAATGATTTGGTATATTTAAATATTATTTTAAAAACATGTTCGGGCTTTAATCTTTTTGGAGGTTTTAGAGCTAGTGAAAAGCCTAATCCTGTCTAGTTTACCATAATGCATCATTTGATAGAAGAGGTCATTTTTTAATAGCAGAAATGCTTTATAATACTTGATAAGCTTGTGAATGGATTTGTACAAGTGCTTTTTCTCTTTTTAAGAAGAAAAGATCGAGATCAAAAATACCTACTGCTAATAAAAAAGATTAGTTATAATTATAAGAAATATAGCTTTCCATTGCTTTTTTTATTAGTGCATATTAATTTTACAACATGATGGGTTTCATTGTGGTATATTCTTGACTTTGCTTTATTTAAATTTAATTACAAATATATAAGCTGTAACCCAATTTCTTTCTTGCTTTTTTTTCTTTCAGTAAATCTTGTCTCATTTTGGCATTGTTTCTCATTTCAACTGTGTGTTCTTTGTATAAATCTTGCTCAGTCTGCATGACATTAGTGTTTTCAGCCTGCTTTGTATTAATGGCTTCTTACATTTGAATGTTTATAATTGGCAGTTCTCTTCAATAATAATTCAAATTAAATGATGCTGTTTCTGCAACATAATTAGAAATATTTTTAAACATTATTTCCATAATATGTAATTTTAATTTATGAAACATTTCCAACATAAAATACTTGTTTTTCTTTTTTTTCCTATTTATATAGAAGTGGTACACCATCCCCCAAACGGACATCCGTAGGTTCCAGGCCACCAGCAGTAAGAGGCAGCAGAGACCGTTTCACTGGGGAATCATACACAGTGCTAGGTAGGATAAAACAATAACTCTTAACAGTCTCAAATTAAAGGCACCACAGCCACACTGATAAATTTTCTACTCCTCAGAGCTAGAGCAGTTTCCTGTGTATTGAATGAATCTTTGCAGAGGTTTGTCCCAATTGAAGCTTAATTACTTGGGGGCTTTTGAAATTTACTCATTAGTCATACTTTTAAAATTCTTATTTTAACTTACTAGTGATTCCTAATATAAGCATAACCCTTGAGAGGTTGGTAAGGAAGAAAATTCTGAAGAATTTTGTACTCAGGGAAAAAAAAAACTACAAAAGTAAAGTTAAGCAAGTACTCTGCATTTAGTGTCTGTATGTTAACATGATTATTTTCAAAGAGAAATTGAATTTAATTTTTTGAATTAAATTTGTGGAATGAATGATACATAAGAATCTGTGTAATTCCTGAGAAAGAGATTAGAGTCGAGTATCTTTCTTATCTTTTGTAGGAGACACTGCTATTGAAAGTGGACAACATTATTGGGAGGTCAAGGCCCAGAAGGACTGTAAATCCTATAGTGTGGGAGTAGCATACAAAACTTTGGGGAAATTTGACCAATTGGGAAAGACAAACACTAGTTGGTGTATCCATGTCAACAACTGGCTACAAAATACTTTTGCAGCAAAACATAATAATAAAGTCAAAGCTTTGGATGTTACTGTTCCAGAGAAAATAGGTGTATTTTGTGATTTTGATGGGGGTAAGTTTACTTACTTTTTCATAAGTCATTTCATCATAACTACTTATGTTTCAGTACTTTTCATTGGTAATCACCTCTACAGAATTTCTGTTAATATCATGGTAAGGACATTTTGGCCAACTAGGTTTTGATCACAAACATAATCTCAGTACTAGAGTTAGACTGGAAGGGCATATTATGTCTGCCTGGAGCTCTATAAAAGCACTCATTTATAATATGCTAAGTCTGAAATATTTTGCTAATTTTAGTCTTAAACACTAAAATTTTTCTTGTTTTTATTCCTTCCTTACTGTTCTATTACCCGTGTATAAACAATGGTGAAGTCAGATTTTTTGAGTTGGAATAAACCTTGGAAATTATCCAGTCCATCTTCCACACAATATAAAATTTGTATTACACTATTTCTGCAGGAGTTGCCACTTCTTTGCTCAAATAACTTTTTAGTCTGAACATTATTGTCTTAGAAGTCCTGTTTCTTGGGAGGGCTCTTGATTAGGTTTTTCTAAAATGAACTCACTTTACCTCTCTGTAATTTGTGAAAATGTTGTTTTTAAATTCTGACACCTGAATAAACACAGAATTATATTTTGTAATTCACACAATAATTCTTATTTCTTTCCAAGTTGTCACTTTAAGCTAATAATGGAAAATTTTTATCATTTTAAGTCACATTGGGTCCAGACAATCCCATGCTGTCAACTTAATCACTCAAAAAAGGAAAAAAAATTAATTTGGGCCAATTTATTTTTAGTGATGACATGTCAGTTTGGTACATTCTTTTTTACTTATTCCCTTTGAATAAGATAAACCATTTTCTACAGAATGACAAATTTACTGGTGCAGTTTAAAAAATATATATTTTCAGCTACCAGGACAATATTTGCTTATCATCCTTTCTCCTTTCCCATATGGTTATTTTATATAGATGATAGGGAGAAGTAATTTTAGCTAACAGCATAGAGTACAAAGGGGGAAGCTGTAATGTAGGATGTAATCAGATTCTGAGAGCCTTGAAAAAATGTTTATAGACTAGTCTTTAGTAGTGGGGAGGGTTGGCTGTGTACATTTTAGAAAAATATAGTCATATGATGATAATCTTATATTAGAAATATTAGAAAGTAAGTGATTAAAAGACGGAAGAGATTACAAAAATAAAGAGCATAAGATGTTTTAGGAGTTAGTCTAAAGTATAAGGCATGACCATGTTTATTTTGTTAACTATTAAATTGTTATTGCCTGCTAAGTGCTTTTAACACAGGAAGTCCTAATAAGTATTTGTTAAGTGATTGGCAACAAAAACCCAAGCAGTTGGAAATCAAGAATGAAATTGATGGTGTAAAATTTATAGAACTTGGTAACTAAATATAGATTGGGGGAAGAGACAAAGAAGAATGGAAGGCAGCTCTGAGGTTCCAGCCAGTGTGACAAAGAGGATGGCAGTGTCAGTGGGTTAAGGAACAGAGAGAGTCCAGTGGAAAACTGAGATTATAGCAGGACAACCATGTGACATATTTAGCAAACATTTAGAAATTCTTGAACTCAGAAGTAGAGCTGAAACTAAATATTTGAAGCAGCAGCACAGAGTGACTACTGAAGATTACACAGAATAATATGCTTGAACATTATTGCACTGTTGTTACTAACTTTGCAATCATGTAGGTTGCTTCATGTTTTGAGATAATCATATATATAAAGCACCAAGTACTTTAACAGTATACATAAATGTTAGTTTCTTTTTCTTACTCTCTGGTAGCAACTGGTTTATTAAGAGAGCATTTCATAAATGCTCTCTTAACACAGACAAAGCAGCTTTAAAGCAGAATAGGAGGAAAAGGAAGAGAGAGAAACTATCTTTAGGGTTAGGATTCAAACCAAGAATATAGTCATTAAAGAAAGGCTTCGCGAACTAACAACAGTCCTGTGGAGGTCATCAGATCAGATTAGATAGGAGGTCAGATGGAGTTATTTTAAGGCATGATCCTGTTGAAAGACAGACTGTGAGGGGATTTGAAAATTAACAAAGCTGAAGCAGTGATGAATATACTATGATTTCAGAGACTGGAGTATGAGTCTGGCCTTAAGTATTTAGTATTTTAAATATAGTAAGCCTTAAATAAATAGAGGATTTGGGTAGAGTAAAAATAAGGAGGAAGAAACTTCCTTGTTTTTTTACTGGGCTCATGAAAATTTTTGTTAAATAATGATAAATAGTTTATAGCTGAATAAGTACAACAGTGTCAGATTATGGTGAAACAGTATGGAGATCTTAAAAACAAGGGGAAGAAGAAGAAAATTGGATTTGGGCATTTTCTTAAGCACGTTCACTGATTTTTCTAGTGAAAGTAAGTTCAATCCTTAGAGTTTGTAATAAAAAATTAATGCAAAGATGGGCCTTAAGTTATTATTTTTGCATGACTACACATTAGACTTTATTAGAGTTATAATTTCTTGTATAATAAATAAAAGGCTTTTTTTCCCTCTTCCTTTTAGGTCAACTTTCTTTTTATGATGCAAATTCAAAACAGCTGCTGTATTCTTTTAAGACAAAGTTTACTCAGCCAGTACTGCCTGGTTTCATGGTTAGTACCTAATTTATATTTTATTTAGTTTGACAACTTTAAGAAGAATAATCTTTATTATTTGGGAAGCAAACATCCTATTTTTTTCTTCATAGTCATCTCCCTTTCTCCATTCCACTCTCTGAAATATGCAATTTTTTCTGTACAATTTTGGTATACTTTGTTGAAGTCAATGTTGATAAATAAAGGTACACAAATCATAAGCATGTAGTTTAGTGAACTGTTATAGGACTGTATTTGCTTTTGTAACTAGACCCTAGGATAAGAAAGAGAACATTACCAGAATCTCAGAAGCCCCTGTGCCCATTTCCAGTCCCTAATGGCTCGTCTCCAAAGTGTAACCAGTACTGTAAATTTAAATACCTTAAGTTCATTTACCACTTCTTTATATATAAGTGGAATTATATCTTTCTGACTCCAAATTATATATGTGAGGTTTATCCATGTACCATGTTGTAATTCCTTCATTCTCACAGTTATATAGCTTTCCATTATATGACTATATAATAATTTACCCATTTTAATTTAGTTGAATATGTGGATGGTTTCCATTTGGGACTGTATGTGTATATAATTTCAGATCTACTCAGTTACAGACTTATTTATATAAGAAAAATTCATATTTCATACAAATTGAAACATGGATTTGAATTCCTTATTTTTAAGCAAATGTTGTTGCTCCTTCCAACACCTTAACATTCTACATTTCTCCATAAAGTTAGGCTACTGTGGGAAATTCCAAGATCCAGTTAAGGTCACCATTACTTTGGTGAGAACTTTCCTTGATGTGGGGACTCCCTGTATAAATCAGATGATATAATTCAAGTACAGGTTCTGTGGAGTGTTTTATGTGTGTAGTCTTTCATTACCCCTAAATATAATCCCCCAATATGAAGAGGAAGTATTTAGGATATATATGGGTTGAAAACACAGTGCTTTAAATCTCATGACAAATAGTATTTTTTTATTCTAGATACCCTAAAATATTAAACTTAATGCTAACAAAGACTCCTGGTTTTTCACTGAAATCAGAAGTAAATAGTGAATAAAGTTATTGCTCATGGAAAAATTATTAGAAGTTATTAGATGGATTGTGTCTCTCTTTTTTATTTTTTTGTTGCCTTTTTTTTTTTTCACTTTACTACAAATCTCCACTGTATTGGATATTTTGGGCTGTTTTTCCAAATTGGCCAATTAGAGACAAATTGTTTACCATATGGAACTCAGAAGAGATTTTTTTTTCAATTCGTAGATGTACTTTTATAAAAGATATTTCACTTGTAATATGAATCTATTTCATGTAGATAGGTACTGAGTTTATTCATTGTTATTTTCATTCCATATAAGGAGACTAATTACACATCTGCATCATAAGATGCTTTACAAAATTATTTTAAACTTGTTTTTTTCTTCTTTTAAGTCTTTTGTTTATTAAGTAAATGAGTATTAATATTTTCATATATAAGATTAATTTTTAAAGCCAGGTTTATGAGCTATAATTTATAGTATTGTATAATTCTGTGGGTTTTGACAAATGCAAAAACAAAACCACCATCATGATCAAGATATAAAACATTTCAGCACTATAGAAAATTTCTTTATATTCCTTTGTAGTGGACGCCTCCCATTACACCCAGCCCTAGTAATACGTAAACCATTTTTAGTCCCTTTAGTTTTGCTGTTTCCACAAAGTCATGTAAATGGAATTGTAAGGTATATAATCTTTTGTTTATGTAGCATAATGCATTTGAAACTCATCCATGTTGTTGTGTTTGTTAGCTTTTTTTTTTTTTTTTTTTTTTACTGCTAAGCGGGTTTTCATATATGTATACACCACAGTTTATTCATTCATTCACCAGTGGAAGGACATTTAAGTTTTTTCCAGTTTGGGGCAATTATGAATAAACGTGCAGTAAACATTCACGTGAGGTTTTTGTGTGAACACACAGTTTCATTTCTCTTGGGCACATATCTAATATATGGTAGGGTTCCTGAATTACATTGTAAGTGTATGTTTATAGATGCAAAAATTATTAATAAAATATTGGTAAATCACATAGAAAAACACATTTAATAGATATTGCACCATGATCAAGTGGTTTTCATCCCACTTGATAATAAATACTTGATAAATAAATAAAATACTTGGGAATTAACCTAATGAAGGATGTGAAGGATGTCTACATTGAAAACTAGAACACTGAAGAAAGAAATTTAAGAAGACTTAGAGGATGGAAAGGCCTCCCATGTTCTTAGATATGCAGAATTAATATTGTCAAAATGGCCATACTACCAAAAGTATTTGATGCAATGTCCATCAAAATGACATTTTGCACAGAACTAGAAAAAGCAGTTCTAAAATTCATTTGGAAAAATAAGAAACCCAGAATAGCTAAAGTAATCCTGGGCAAAAAAGAGTTATGATGGAGGTACTGCAGGCATCATGATACTGGACATCAAATTATACTACAGAGCTATAGTAACAGAAACAGCATGGTACTGGCACCAAAACAGACATGAAGACCAATGGAAATGAATAGAAAAACAGAGACAAACCCACATAAATACAGTTATCTGATGGTAGACAAAGATGCCAAAAACATGTTGGAGATAATATACACTTTTTAATAAATAGTGCTGGGAAAACTGGAAATCCACATGTAGAAGAATGAAACTTGACCCCTCTCACCCTACACAAATCAACTCAAAGTGGATCAAAGACCTAGGAATTAGACCAAAAATTCTGCAACTACTAGAAGAAAATGTAGGCCCAATGCTTGAACATGTTGGCACAGGAACCAGCTTCCTTCATGAGACTCCTAAGGTCCAATAAATAATACCAAAGATCAATAAGTGAGATGGCATCAAATTAAAAAGCTTTTGGCTGGGAGTGGTGACACATGCCTGTAATCCCAGCAACTAGGGAGACAGGAGGATTGTGAGTTCAAAGCCAGCCTTAGCAGAAGTGAGACACTAAGCAACTCAGTGAGACTCTGTCTCTAAATAAAAACAAAATTGGGCTGGGGATGTGGCTCAGTGGTTGAATGCCCCTGAGTTCAATCCCTGGTATAGAAAAAAGAAAAAAAAAAATTGCATGGCAAAGGAAACAAGAGTATGGAGAGGGCCTTGAGAATGGGAGAAGATCTTTGCCACCTGCTCCCTCAGGTAGGACGCTAATATCCAGAATATATATAAAGAACTTAGAAAACAACATTAGGAAAAACAACACAATAAATAGGCAAAAGAACTAAATGGACACTTCTCAGAAGAAATACAAATGGTCATAAATATAAGAAAAAATGTTCAGCATCTCTAGAAATAGGGCAATGCAAATCAAAACTACATTGGTATTTCCTAATGGCAGTTAATAATAAATGTTGTTGAGGATGTGGAGGGGAAAGTATACTCTCATTGTTGGTGTGATTCCAAATTATTGCAACCACTCTCACTTCTCAGTACGTATCCAAAAGATGTAAGATCAGCATATTATAGGAATGTAGCCACATCAATGTTTATAGCAGCACAATTCCAACAGCCAAGTTATTAAGCCAACTGAGGTTCCCCTTCCAACAAATGAATGGATAAAGAAAAAATATATATATATACACACACACACACACAATGGAGTATTACTAAGCCACAAAAAAGAATGAAATTATGACATTTGCTGGTAAATGTATGGAACTGGAGACTATAATGCTAAGTGAAATAAGCCAGTCCCTCAAAGTCAAAGGTAAAATGTTTTCTCTCATATTCAGAAGCCAGTCCAGAATAAGGGAGGAAGGGAGTGGGGGAGAGAAAAGGTGAGGGAATTCCATCAGAATTGAAGAAAGATTAGTGGACTATATTAAGGGGATTGAGGGGCAGGGAAGAGGGACAGGCTAAGGGAAGAACAGTGGAATGAATCTGATCTAACTTTCCTATGTACATATATGAATATACAATCTCACCATCATGCATATCCATGACATTAATAAAAAAAAAAACTAATAGATCAGGAGAATAGAGGGAAGGAACATGGGGAGGAAAGAGAAGGAGGAAAGGGCAAGTACTGAGGACTAAATTAGAGCAAATTATGTTCTTTTATAATTATTTCAAAATGAATCTTAATATTACATATAATAAAAAGAACCAATAAAAATTCTTTTTCCTTAAAAGCTTTGTAAAAAGCTACCAAAATGTTTGCCACGGTGGCTGTACCATTTTTGCATTACAACAGCCATGTTTAAGTTTTTCATATCCTTGTATCATTTGGTATTGTCAAATTTTTCTTACTGTCCATAAGCCATATATAGTGGGTTTTTTATCCTGTTGTTATTTGCATTTTCCTACTGACAAATTATGTTGAGCATATCTTTTCATGCACTTATTTTCCACTTGCATAATTTCTCTGGTGAAGTATGTGTTACAATTCTCTACTCACTTTTCTTGGGATATTAATTTGTTTTCTTATTGTTTTAAGAGTTCTTTATAAATTTTGGGTATAAATGCAAAAATTTTTGCAGATGTTACCTCCCAGTTCATAGCTTGACTTTTCATTTTATAGACATTTCCAAAGTGAAGTTTTTATTTTCAGATGAAGTCCAATTTATCCAATTTTTTCCCATTTGTGGATAATGCTTTGCCTATACGTACCTATACATATGCATGGCATACAGGTCACAAAGATTTTCTCTTGTATTTCTTCCTAAAGTTTTACAGTTTTAGGTTCTCTTTTTAGGTCTATGATCCATTTTTAGTTAGCTTTTGTATAGTATAGTTGGAGTCTCATGTTCTCTGTATATTGATATCCAGTTCTTCTAGTACCATTTGTTGAAAAAGATTTTAACTTTCTCATTATCACCTTTGTGCTATTTTGATTAAATATTTTTCTAAGTCAATTAAATAACTTTTAAAAGGTAACCTATAAATTTTATAATTTGAGGATTGATTTGTGTTTTGGGAGTTTATCATTACTGAGCCTGCTAGTTTTAAAAATTTAGAATGTTAATTGTATTAGTTATAAATTTTACAGAGCAGTAGATTTTTTGGTTAAATACGCTGTGTAGTAAATACTGAATGATACAGGATATAATTGAGAGTGAGTATACATAAAGAACTTGAATTTTCCTTGCACAAACTAATGATAATTTAGATGGTCCATATGTTCATATTTTAAGCATCTTGACTTTTTCAAATCTTTTTTACTTTATCAAATCAGTATTTTTTCACATGCAAAGCAGTTATATCTTTCATAAATTCATTCATATTTTTCATAATTAATAGAACATGGCAAGTACATATGGATGTTGTCATTTGCAGTTTTCTTAGAAGTCCTTCTCAAAAAATTATTCAAGTTCTTATTGTTAAAAACATAGGGAAGAAATCAAATGGTTTTTATTCTGTTGACACAGGGTTGTTAGATTCCTATGGTAACATCAAAACCAAAAGCAATGATTGGAATAGGGAAGTTGATTCTTTGTACACTTTCCTTGGTTGTGAAGGTTAACATCAGTAATGATAGCCAGTTTCTTTTGCACAGATTGATCCAGTTCAGTTTCTCAATTTCTGCAGCCCTGAGTTTCCACTCTTGGGTTCAGCTTTGTTGGCTTCAGCTACCACAAAGACTTCCTTTTGGCCTTTGCAGCTTTAAAAGAATACTGAGCCTCTCTACTTCCCCTCAGCTCAAATATGAAGGTTATCAATTTGGGATCTGTCAATTTTCATATGCATGGCATTTGCCTTTCAAATAGAAATTTAAGAATCATTTAATTTCTTAAAAAAAAAAAAAGAATCATTGAATTTCTGATTTGAGTTGAAATCTGACTTGAGATTTGTTTTTGTCTTTTCTTAGGTTTGGTGTGGTGGACTTTCTTTGAGTACTGGGATGCAGGTTCCAAGTGCTGTGAGAACACTTCAGAAAAGTGAAAATGGAATGACTGGTTCAGCCAGCAGCCTGAACAATGTTACTCAGTAACACCTACGCAGAATGTTTACCCTCCCTCTTGACTGGGTGGCCTTTTCTGTGCAGTTACCTATCACAGAAATTTGTGAGTGGTGGAAATCAGGTTTGCTATGTTCTGCTTTAAGGCCTGGAATCTCTTAGCTTAAGCATCTAGTATGAAGCATTTACAGGAATCTACTGTGCAATATCATAGAAGCAAGCAGTTCTGGAGCAAGAAACTGATGTTTTGAAGAGTAAATGGGAAAGAAGGCAGTGTTTAAATATTTATATAGAAACTCGTTTTTGTGTTTCTTTAATTACTTTTGTTCTTTTAAAATGTTTAATTACATTTGGTAATCCTAGGGCCTGAGGTGAAAGGCTTTAAAAATTTGCTTTTCTTTCTTGACTTTCTTTTTTCCTATCTCATCACTACCTGTTATTTAGTATACACTAAATCTTTAAAATTACATAGCCCCAGCCCCACCAAGGTTTTCTAAAAATTGAAATCATTGATTGGGGACAGTAGAAGTTTTTTTTTTTTTTTTTTCTTACAATGGTGTATTTCCCCCTTTTATAAATAAGTTGAGTTTTGCTAAATTAACCTATTTACTCACTAGTTTTTATCTCATCTTCTACTTTCCAGAATATATTGCTATTTCTCTTGTAGTTATAACTCCAAATACAGAGTGAATATGAAGAATTTAAAAAGCTTAAAATCACCCAGATTTCAGTTTTGTATCTGCTATAGTAACACAATGGCAAAGGGTTTGCTCTGACTACTTTGCATTCCATCACTTTGAATGTTCAGCAAGATTTTTAAAAGCCTTATGTTTTCTGGTATTGTTGTCTACTTTAACCCTACCTTTAGTAGTTATCTTTGATAAAATTCCCCACTCATATTTGGCACTGATTGTAATTATACTCATTTTTTTAAAAAAATTAATAGGAATGAAAAAATTTTTAACATGGTTAAGGGTAGAAAACCAAAGGGATGTACCTAAAAGTATTCTTTAGTAATTATTTATTCTTTTTAATAAGATGTAGGAAAGGTTGAAACAACTGGAAAAAAATCTACATATCTCTGACTTAATTGGTGTGTTTTTCAACCAACCATTCAGAGGTTTTGGGGGTTTTTACCCCCTTATCCTTTTTGCTAAAGTCATATGCTTTTTAAAGGGGTATAATTCTTCTAAAAATCAACATAGTCATGTTTCCCAGCCTTGGGAGTGGTATATTTAAATTTAAACAATGAGTGGTATTGAACAGAACAAATCTATTCTTAAAAAATTGATCAAAGTTTGTTACTCAAGTCCTTTGAGCTAAACTAAAAGTTATAATTACAGTATTTAAGATTTCCTTGAGCATTTTAAAGAAATTAAAATTTATATTTTACTTAGTTTTTAATTTCTTTTATTCTTTCATTCTCATTTTAAATATCTTGTAATATGACAGCCTTCTTCCAGAAGTACCTTTGTTGCTTACATTTGAGTTGTTTTCTATAAAAAGACCTGCCCTCTTAAAATTTACTGCTTACGGGCTGGGGATGTGGCTCAAGCGGTAGCGCGCTCGCCTGGCATGCGGGCGGCCCAGGTTCGATCCTCAGCACCACGTACAAAGAAAGATGTTGTGTCTGCCGATAATTAAAAAATAAACATTAAAATTCTCTCTTTAAAAAAAAAAAAAAAAAAAAAAAAAAATTTACTGCTTACGATATGATGTTTTGTTTCATTGATAAAAACAGATGTAAATGAGGACTTACATTTGACCTGGGGTATTATTTTCTTTTCTAGAGGACAGATATCCACACTATTATCTAATAATAGGTTGGTAATTTTAAAGACTGTAAGGCAGTTAAGGGAATAAAGTATGTCAATAGATAGTCTTGAGTCTCCAAGTATAATTTTGGTTTTTGTTTGTTGTATTTGGAAAGAAATTTTTGGAAAGTTCTATTCCCTATAGAAGGGCTATTCTAAGACCCAAGGAAACAGGAATTTATTCCCTTTCACACTCCAAAGCAGTAATTTAGTGGAGTGGCTTTGTGTGAAAAGCTGTACACAGTATATTTTAGCAAATACAAAACAAAAAAAACCCAGATGTTCTTGTATAGAATTTTTTTACTATTATGTATTATATAATTGTCTTCTCATTAATTCAGTGCCTTTTTCCTCTAAGCATGCTCTTTCTTCATGCCTCATGCAGTGTCAACTGATATTTAAGCCAGACATATTACAGTTGTGAGAGCCTTCTGTTGCAAGGGCATGGGAAAAATGAAATATTAATTGGGCTGAAAGAGTGCATACAATTCTTTTTTGTGTTCTGCCATCATTTGGAATTTGCATATAAATTTTCTAACACTCATTTGCAAAATGTTCTAATTTCATTGGGAATTAATTACTAGCAGCTTTGTAGTAATAAATTCAGTAAATCTGGAGTCCAAGCTCACATCACATGTAATACTTGATATTAAATTATACCATCATTACATCAAAATTAGAATCTGAAGGCTCCCTCTCTGCTGCTGCTTCAGGGTCTCTAAATTAAGAGCAAAATGTGAAGTGTTTTAGTTTAACAATTGTAAGTTGGATGAAAAAGTCTGTCATCCTCATTTTTAAACTAAAAAATAATTGAATATAGTGCCTATTTAAATAATCTCAAATAAGGTAACTATTAACTTGATAATATTTAACATTTTCATTGATGTTTTGAGTTATAATGAGCTCTCTTGCTCAATTCATTATGGAAAGTTGCTAAACACTTTTAAATATCCTTTATTGCTTTATTTACCTTTTGTTTTGACAGGTCAAACATGACTGCTTTCTATAAAAGAAATGCATGAGAAGTTGACTATCATAGGTGCAAAAATTATGTTTTATAAAAATATGCATTAGTATTGCATTTCCCTCTTACCAGTTGAATTCCAAGCCAGTTGTATTAAACTGGATATAGAAATGAAGGAGCTGCCTTAAGCACTTTAGAAAAGGAAATTTTCTACAATTCATTTTGACACTTGCAGCTTACCATGTCACATACATCTTTAACTTTGGTAAATATGTATATACCAAGCATTTAATAATAATGCACATAGAAATTTAATATACAGTAATTATTTGAATGTTCCAGGTATAGGTGAATAAATTTACAGTATTAGGGGCATGTCTTGTCTGTACATGGGTTTAATTATTGGCATCTGTACCATTTGACAAACCATTAACTACTGCTATACAGCTTACCTTGTTCTGCAAATAGTAATCATTCCCTGTGTTATATAAAGTGACATATTAACTTGCATTTATTTTCTCATTTATGAAATTAAAGCATGAATAATATCATGTATAATTTGAACTGTGATCCTTGGTGGTATAAATAATAAAAGTAAATATTTGTGATAAAATCTTTTAATTAGGCTAAGATATTGTTTCATGACTTACTTAGAATAATTAGGTTTTTTTATGTTTCCATAAAATTTTTGTTATTTGTATATTATTATTTCTTTTAAAAACAATTTTGGAAAAGGATATATGTTAAAAATGATTATTCCTCAAAGAGTTTTAAAAGAAAGTATAACATCTTATTATGAAATATGTGATTCTGGGGTTTAAAAATTTGGCAATTTTCAAATCATCATAATTTCTTAAAGAATGTATTTATTAGATCTGTGTTCATTGATAGGCTAATTCATAAAACAAATATTTGAGTGTCTGTGATATGGCAGTGAAAATTTTATTACTTTGCATTCACATTTTCAAAACTAGTGTATTCAATTTATTGTGCAGCTAGTTTTGCTTCTTTTTAGTATGCTGAGACTGCATTTTAAAAATAATGTTTTGTTAAAAAGTCAGAAGTGTTAAAAAGTAAATTTGTTAGTTTTTAAAAAGCTCAAATTAACTGCGTATAATATGGTTCACTTTTATGTAATCACATAACATAGGTTCAGCAAAGCTTATTTCTTGAGTTTATTTTTACTAGATATAGTCTTTCAGAGAAGTGTATGGTCACTCTGTATACAGGTAACCATAAAATTATTTGTTATTTTTAACCAAAACGTACATTTCATAATGCCAGCACTGGAGTATTATGAAAGATCATGTTTTCTTAGCCATCATAGCAAGATTACCTCATGTTCATAGTAGTTTTAGTGGTTTTTTTTTACAGTATTTACATTTCTGCAATTATGTGTGATTTTTAATGTCACATATGATAGCACTGTTACCTGGAATATATGATTAACCTACATAAACATTTTTAATTGGTGTTGGACATGTCATATAAAGGTTAGTACTGGCTTAATAAACAGATACCAGAAATTGCCATGGTACTTTTCTCCTTGGACTACCCAATTATTAAGCTAAAAGTATTTGTTATTTCGGGGTCAGTATAGGGTACTGACTTTTGATTCATAATCTTTTAAGTTATATTTGTTTAAGGTGATATGTTTTCTTAATAATACCCAGTCAATATATGTTAGTCCTTAGGAATGGATGTATAGAGGATTTCACAGTAATGTAGGGCAGAAGGTAGGTGAACGTGTTTGCTTTGGCTTGGCACTTATTAAGTTTGGACTAATTTAAAATAAGTCAAATTGTAAGTGATTGGCAAAAGCCATTTTATTAATATTGGAACTTTTTGGAGAGCACAGAACAATGAGAATCCATCTTTTAAAAACATGTATAAAACATTTCTGATATCTCTAAGGTACCAAAGCACTGAGTCTAATTCACCTAATCTAAGGGAGACTCTTTAAAATCAAATTTATAACTAATTCATACTATAAGATACATAATAGCTAAAGTTTTAGAGTAATATAATTTATATTAAAAACCACTAGTCTTTAAAATACCTATATGTGATATTAAGATGATTTTGGCATCTTTTTCAAAAGTATTCAAAATTTATCACCTTAGCTTTATCATATACTAGGTCTGTGACAATTGTGTAAATCACTCATCACCTTTGGGCCTCTGTTGCCTTACTTAACTCATTATGTCTCAATTTCCCAAATATAAGACACCTATAAAAACCTATAAAATTGCTCAATTTAAGTTTTTATAGGTGTCCTATACATAGGAGGAGACAGTGGGTTAAAATAATTGTAACTTGTTCAGCCTACCTCACAGGGCTGTTGTGAGGAATAAATGGATGGAGTATGTGAAATTGCTTCAACAATAGCAAAGTGCTATGTAAATGTAAGCTGTTATTTTTAGTTAATGGATTTAAGTGTTCGGATACTTCTAAATGCCATTTACTTTGATAAAGCATGTTCTTAAAGTGGTATCATCATTGATTTTAAATGTGATTTTTAAAATAAAACCTTTTATCAAGATGTCATATAATATTAATTTAGTTTGTGCATGACTT